TTGATGTCTTCGTTTTTCCAGTCAGCTCAACAAGATGACCAACTATTCTGATATATCGCGAATCTCCTCGGTGAGTGAATCTAACCATGTCCATGTGATTAGCATTGACTGAGCTACGTTGAACATTGAATCCGTCATAGCATGCTGATGATTCGGGAACAATCTAATAAATATAAGGCAAGCAGCTGTTAGACTTCCTACGCCACATCATCTTTGAAAGAGCAGAAAACCTACAATACCAATGGCCGTAGGAAGCACCTCTCTGACACAAACGACATGCATTCCCTGAGAAATCGTGACGAATTGGTCTCTTTGATTTTCAAGGATGTGAGAGTCGGTCTTCAGGGTTTGGAGAAGTTGCTTATTTGGTTGACGCAAGCAGTATTTGGAAATTCCCGCGACAATCTCTCCTAGACTTGCCTTGGCAGAACCCCTGTGTGGTGTACCAAAGAAGATGATGCCTCGTGTCTTTACGTATATTTCTGCAATGTCCAGGTGTCGGCTATGATTCTTATATGCCGCAGCTTTAACCAGTGCCTCTTTCACAACTAGGCCTCCAAGACTGTGGGCTGCAAACACGATCGGTCGTGTCTAGATGAACAACATTAGTACGATTCTCACCATAGGCTGGAGGAAAGCCGTGAAGACCATACAACGCCACGACGAATGGATGAGAGGTCAATCAAAATGCTTTCGGCGTGTCCATAAATACTCTCCACACTAGAATATGCCAATACTTTCGCAACGCTGGAGTCATAGCCCCATGATATAACCCTCGAATCTTGAATATCGTGTTTGAGTAGGTCACGCGGCCAGCAGATGCTACCGCTCGACCACGTTTTCCGAGATGAACCTCGCAAACCATGTACAAACACAATGTCGACTCCGCCACTCGGATCTTCCGTGCCATCGTACAGTACATCTGCACCAAGGGCATCAGTGGACTCGTTTGTTTGAGTGGCATCACTCCCGTCTGAGTCGCTCCGAGCTTGCAACAGGTGACCAATTTTGCGGAGTTTTTTCATGCTAACGCGACACGGCCTTTCCTGACATGTAGTCTGGGGTTTACCAGGTAATGATTGATCAATTGTTGAACGATCAGAATCAGATTTGAAAGTCTGAGGCTCTTTAACAAGCTCCCAGCCTGATCAGCCAGGAGGCTGACGAGCAGAGAAACCCCGCAGCGAATCGCCCACGTGATATGGATGAGTCAAATACTCTATAACGTTCATCTGCATACTTCTATCTCTATAGGCTAGATGAAGCTTGCTTCTCTAATGACAAATTGAAGGTACATAATGTTTTGCAATGTTATATTTTCTTATATCTAGGTGTGCTGTTTAGCTCCCTTTTTTTTAACGAAACCCTGAAGATTGGATTTCTCATTATCCTTGATATGATTCTGGCTCTTGTGATAGGTGTATCTGTCCGACCTGGACACTTGCAGTGTTATTATCATCCACAAATGATATCTGACGTCCTAGCTGTGAAGTCAGTCTCTGTGCAAAGCGAAAACCTTTTCTTGTTGTAATCTGGTCCTTTATTCTTTCACAGATGTCCATGTCTGGTTTCGATTGATAGAATTGCAAGGTTGCGGCGGTAAGCGGAAAGATAGTTCTACTGAACCAAAAGTGGCCCATGTTACTCTGAAGGATAATGCCAATGGTTCTCAAAACCTTGCGGCCAATGTGACTGCGGTCTATATCACGGTAGTCATCCTCAAGTGTTTCGACTAAGCCTTTGAGGGTTTCCAAAATCGAACTTGACGAGTACCAAGTGTGTTGATGCGCGAGCTCGGATAGTCTTTTATTGGTAAACGCAAGAATGACAGAAAATGACCACCACGTCATGACGAGACTTTCAAGCTTGAAATCCATCTCGACTTGTTGAAAAGCTTTACCGAGAGACTCGGAAACTTCAATAGGGTATGTATCAGATAGGATTGTAGAGTTAATAAAGTAGTCGCCTTTGAACTTTTCCAGGGCATTTAACAACTCTAAGCTCGAATTTATCGTGTCTAGAAGTAGATTGACTTTAGATGTGCTGGTCCTGGTGGCAGCCAGCTGTTCCAGCCCATCGGTTTGCTCAAGTAGACAGGCTAATGAGAAACCGAGGTCATAGAGCAGTTGCTCTTTGTCCTTGACAATATTTTTCCAAGGCGCTGTGCGCCATAATGGTCCTGCGAGGTCATAGCTTTTTCGCATGGTGATGCTCTGTATCATCTGTGCTGTGAATGAGTAAAGCACGACTATATCTGGGCTAGTGAGACTAACCAATGGATACCTGAACTCCTCAAACACAGCCCGGGCTAAGGGCGTCCCGTAGCTCCAGGGCCCACGGTACTTCATGAGAGACGCGAGGCCAGAGACGTGATACTGCCAAGAGACGGCTGTATTAGTGGTTGCTTCATAAAGCTAACAACGAGTTAGATAAACTTCCCGCAACAGGGAGAAAGAGGCTGAAGGGAATACCTCGTATAGAGCCATGACACGTGTGGCGGCAAGAGTCTCGTCTTGTCCCACCCGTTGTAGGTCGTATAGGTCTTTCTTAAGAAGTCTCAAAGCCTGGCTATAGATATTCCTTCCTTCATATAAAAGAATGTTGTCGTTATTGATCCTGCCGCGTCGAACTATCGACAGGGCCAACAATGCTTGAGTTAGAGCTTCAGTAGGGAATGATACGGTCATAGCATGATAGAGCCACACCGGCCCTGTGACCAACGTGTTCGAGGATCCATCCATCGGTGAATAGTTGTCCCAAAACCAGCTTAAAAAATTATCTGACCAAACTTTCCCGGCAGAAGGAGCTGAAGGTAGGCGATCGACGGATGTTCTGATCAGGGCGACAGCTCTAGAAGCGGAATCTGACTTTGCTTCCTCAAGCGCCTTCCGCTTCTGTAACCCTTGCAACGTACGGTTGATGAACACAGGAAAGCGATCATAGCCCTCGCACAATCTCCCGGTTTGTATGCAATTTGCGCAATGGGGCCGTTCCTGGCCACACCGGATCTTGCGTCTTCTACACGTCGTGCAGCCCTTTGACTTGCCCGCCACCCCAACCATTCCCCCGGCAATCTCAGATGTCAATACTTAGTGCGTGCTTATTCGAAAAGGTCCGAGCAACTTCAGACATCTTGAGTCTGCCCACCCAGCATCCTAGGTGGGCTGAGCATGAGTCAGTAGCCGGAGCCAGAGCTCTTGAATGTGGCTAACGTAGAGCGGCAAGTCGTAGGAATGAGGTAATCATGTCATGGCCATACGTAAGAACTGATGCGATATCAATCGGGTAAGAAGCCTTGGGTTTGCCTAAAGTGACTGCGTTGCACACCTTGTAGAACAGTGCAAATGCAGCTGGGCAGGGGTGGAGATCTGAGGCTGCATTAAGCTCCATCCCACTCGCAAGTTGTAACCCGAAAAGGGTAAAGCGCGTTGAGCCAGCACTAAGACAAAAGCTGCTGACCCGGATCCTCCAATAATCACGGGCATGGTAGCTGGCCTCAAGTCATTCTCAACATGTCTCCAACCGGAACTTTACACGGTGATAAAGAGATCTAAGGCCCGGTCGTGGGAGGAATTTCATAGTTAGACCCAATAAAGCGTTTCCTTGAAACGCTTTAATACTGTTCAGGGTCGAGACACTACAAATGGCGTGGCTTTCAGGGCGTATGATTGGCCAACTAATGTGTTATTAGCGGGAAGGTTGACCTTTGACTTGACAAATGGTTGACGCAATTATCATAACTCCGGAAGCTCCTTCAGATATATAAGCTCAACACCTCAAACCCGGTCTTTCCAAAGAAATTTTATGATTTCCGTAGCAATCATCATACTAAACCTACGAGCATAGCTGAAGAAATACCCAACCAGTATACAATCATGCCTCTTATTGTTCACCATCTCCAGGTCTCACAGTCAGAGCGTATACCATGGCTTTGCGAAGAGTTAGGAATTGATTACGAACTCATTTTATACAAACGAGCGCCTCTTCTCGCCCCACCTGAATACAAAGCTCTTCACCCCATGGGTGCCGCGCCGGTGATTCAAGATGGAGACCTCACGATGGCGGAGAGCTGCGCGGTTATTGAGTACATCTGCCACAAGTACGCCGACGGCAAACTCTTTCTGCAATGGCCGCACCCTGCCTATGCCGACTTCTTGTACTGGTGGCACTGGGTTGACGGTACTTTCTTTGGCTCTATCGCTCGTGGAGTGCAAGCTCGTTCAGGCGACGTAAACCCGATCTTGGCCAAGCTCAATCGTTTTGAGTCAGGGTTGAACATGCTAGATGAGAGACTGCGCGGTAATGAGTGGCTTGCGGGCAACGAATTCACAGCTGCGGACATTATGCTTGTGTTTGCCCTCACCACTTTCAGATATTTCTACCTGTATAGTCTTGGGGACTATCCTAATGTGGTAAAATATCTACAGCGCATTGGTGCCAGAGAAGCCTATCAGAAGGCGATGGCGAAGAGCGATCCCGGGATGGAACTTTTGCTTGGACATGAACCCCCAAAAGAGAGTTTAATGTAGCAAAATGTATGCTGAGAATCAGATGACAGCCGAAATGTCACGAACATGGAGCTTGGAAGCTATTGAGCTAAAGACTATTGCCAAGGAGTGAAGGGCAGCTTTTCGCAGAATATTCGCCACTCTCATGTAGACGACTCAGGACATTGTTCATATACTAGAATGAAAACAAGAATCTTATTACGTTATATTGTATCTCGCTCTTGTCAATGGTTCAATTGATTAAGTGCTCAGATACATCAATTAAGTATATATCCGGTCTAAACTTGTCGAGTTCTGTATAGCTTTATTTAGGCGGCCCACTGAACGATGGCATCTAAGCCACACAAAGCCTGCAGTGTGAAAATAACTATCGTAATTTTGTATCTTTCGGTCAATTATATTAATAATAATAATACAAGAGCACGGGATGTGAGCTTTTTGATCAACGCCTTCCACAGCTGCCAGTTTCAACAGTCCCAACCCTGCGCGTTTTTATGCATGAACCTCGTCCATAAGATAATCGTCTCCCGAGGTCGATGATGTAACCCTTTTCCGTGTTGTCATCGGCACCAAGTCGTGAACGTAGTAGACCAAGAATACGGCCATGACGATTGCCATGAGAACGGCGTCGAAGATATATAAGAAGTACTCGTGCGCAATGATGAACCCGGAGTTGCCCTGGAGGTACTCGACAACCCTGAAGATGCTCCGCACCAGAATTATGAGGCTTACGGAGTACAGAACGGTCAGGTGCCTCCTCCACGGGATGGTGATCTGCGTGGTGGTTTCCGGGGGCTGTCGCAGGACACGCCTGTGGAAAATGAAAGACGCTACGATAAAGAAGCCAAAGAAGGCAATCTGCATAAACAGGCCGACTATGATGACCTTTTCTCCAATATCGTATAGATCCAGGGTTCCACCAGCCTGGATACCACCGCCGCCAGCCTGCAAGGTGAAGGAGGCGACGTCACCAGCCACAAATGTCTTGGTGAGGAATCGCACGGGAATGAGAGAGAGATGCTCGGCATGGAGGCTGACTATGAGTCGACCGAGGATCATGTAGATGGAGGCGGCGTAAAGCGCTGGGGCGACAAGGATGAGAATGGCCTGTATGACGAAACCGCCGATCGCTCTATCATCGTAGTGGGACCAAATGCGGCCACAGTAGCCGATAACTTGAACTATGGGCAGAGAAGTGTTGGCATTAAAGAGTAGGTCTTTCGGTACAGACACGATGCATAATTCAAGAGAGGGGTTTTACTTACAAAGTCCGCCAATGGTGAAGGCTGTGAAGTACAAGGCGCGTGTTCTGTACAGTTTCCAGACATGTAGTAGGGTCAAGATGGCGAAGACGACGACGAAGATGATGGCAGCAGTCAGAGAGGGAGTATAGCGATATAAACTGAAGTCAAACGTTGGAGTTGCATTCGGAGAAGTAGTCGAGTTCGAGGAAGCGGTGCTGTTGTCCATTGTGCCAGTGCAATCTTGGATTGGCAATGAGACGATTGATGTGTTGCGCGTTGCGCGATATCTCCTATATCTTGAAGTTGAGAAAAGAATGCAAAATATATATCCCAGATGTTTCTACAGTCTCTGTAGATGTTGAAAGTCTGCCGTCTACACGACTGCCGCGGTGCGAACGGGAGCAAAAGATCCGCCTCTGACTCCAGGAAGAGATGAGTAGTCGATGAGGACGGCTGGGTGTGGCACGAGAAGCTCTATTAGTCGGTAACTTGAGTCAACTTATACTGAGACACCATGATGGTTGGGGAATCAGCATGGATATCAAAGAATAAGACACAGAACCTTGCTCAGCTCGACATCTGCAGAGAGGATGTTAGATGTGAACAAGGTGTGGATCTCAAGCAAATAGGGTCATGATGTGCATTCATTAAAGCATCAAAAGCTTTGTTTTATTACTATGGCCTTATTGAAATTCGCTAAAGTCATGATTTTCTTCCATGTTGTGGGCTTGCGACAGTCTTGACGGACTAACAATGAATTATATGCCCGGTCCAGAAGTACGAGTAAGGTCCCTGCTACTAAACGAAGGTTACGGCGGATGCTCGTATCTATACGAGGTCGCCGGCATCTAAGCGCAATGGTGGTAGGCTGGCCCGAGGTGGGCCAGTGAACTAATCACCTTTCGACTAGTGCAGCGAATATGAGTACCTAACTAGGTACCTAGGTAGGTAGGCGGGTAGGCATGCCTTACTTAACGTACCTAATAAGGAAGCCTCATAGTGCGCGCGGTGGTTGGGTGCTCCAACGTCCATGACATCTTATTACCTACATCGTGGCGTGGTACAAGATCCCGCACATACCCAAACCTTGCCTTGCTTGAGGTAAGGTAGGTAGAGTTTGTTGCATGGTTCCTATGCATGAATCACTCCTTGACTCGACACCGAGGCAAGTCACTTACCACCTGGGCACTAGTGGTAGGTACTGTATCTACATAGGTCAGATAAGATTTGGAAAGACCTGCGGCTCGTAGCCTCCTCGTTTATTGATCGTATTCTACCAACGAGCAAGCTGCCGCCATCCGTCCTCGCTTTTCTTCTCATGGAGAAGCTGCCATGATGCCCAGTCCCACTGCCTCTGCCTCCTCCGAGGCATTGACACCACATGACGCCGCAGTGAAGTCCAGACGGAAGCCGCATTGCAAGTCTCGGAACGGGTGTCAGAGATGTAAAGACCGGCGTGTCAAGGTGAGTGCAAGGCTGGTTGACCTCTGTTGCCGAGTCAAGGCATGGCGAGCGAGCTGACCTGCGGACCCGGTGTCCCTCTGAGAAAAGTGCGATGAGATCAAACCTGTCTGCTCCCGATGCCAGCGGCTCCATGCGACGTGTCTCTACCGCAATGTAAATACAAGCTCTGGTGGTGCCAGCAGCATCCCGGCGCCCGCCTACATCCTCGGCCTCGGCGTCGGAACCGATTTCTCAAAGGCTGTGCCACCCAGTGGCGACTCATTCAGCTTAGGAGATTTGGCTCTTATGCATCATTGGTCAGTCTCGGCCAGTAAAAGCCTGTCCACTGCCCCCTGGATCTGCCGGCTGTGGCAGACCGTTGTGCCTGGCATTGCCTTCCACCATGACTATCTGATGCACAGCATCCTCGCCCTCGCCGCCCTACACGTTGCACACTGCAATCCCTCTTCGAACTGTTCAGAGCCCTTGCTAGTCGACGCCGCCAGACACTACACCAAGGCTATCAGCAGCTTCAGGGAGGCAATTGTCAGCCTTGACAAAACTAACTGTGATGCTGTCTTTACCACTGCCATCATCCATATATTTTACGTCTTTGCTATGTCCAGCCGGGAATCGCACAATAACTTTGACGCTCTTGATGCAGAATGGATCAACATGGTCCGCGGGTGTGGCGCGGTTCTGATGCCTACCTACAACGAGGTCTCTCGGGGGCCCCTTAGCGGGCTCCTAGATATCGGCGACTGGACTGCGATCAGTCCTGACGATAACCCTAGCAAAGACGATGCCAGGCTCACGGCGCTGAGCGACGTCTGGGACGCAGAAAAAGATCCTAATGACAAGATCTACGCCAAAACACTCATGTGCTTGCGCCTGGCGCTGAAATGGATGGATGACGCTTCGCTGTCTGACTCTAAGGTGTACTGGGCTGGGCCCTTCATATGGCTCCACATCATCCCAGAGGAGTACCTCCAGCTCGTGTGGCAACGGCAGCCCCCTGCGCTTGTCCTCTTTGCATGCTTTGGTGCCCTGGTGCATCGGCTGGACGGTTTCTGGTGGGCGGAGGGTTGGGGAAAACGCATTGTCGGTACGGTTGATGGCTGCGTTGGGCCATATTGGAGACCACGGATACAGTGGCCTCTCGATGTGGTAGCATGATGACGATCATTTCGTCACGCTCGCCTGCGCATCGTTTGACATCAATGTGATACACAAAGAATGTTTGCGAGCAAACAAGAGATGAAAACCGCCGATGAGGCAGGGTCTTCCTGAGCTGAGCTTCACATAGGATCCCGGACACACGATATGACAACGTATTTCAATATCTCACTTCTCATTCTATGATTCGAGTCTGGTATACTTTGCTGAAAGAATACAGTATAGTGAGTGATTTCCAGTAATTAACCTTCATATCCTCGAATAGAAATATATCTACAGCTATGACTACACACATACATGTCTGTGTGTGTGCGGTTGAGTGTCAAGGTATAGAAATATTTAGTCAATGGATCGTCCCACGGATTGAAAAAGTCCCGCCTCCTCCTCCCTACGTTTTGCTCTCAGCCACTTGAGGCGCTTCTTGTCTCGATCAACACCTCTCTTACGTCCACACTCGCGTGGACGGTGAGTTGCTATCACAGGAGCATATCAAATAGATGACTTGATATCTCCAAATCTTCTTGTCTCTTCTTTCAATGCTTCATAATTTTGGTTGCTCTTGCAAACCATACACAGCCACTTGGAGAAAGATGCAGCCCAAATATGGCATTCCTCGTCACCATAGCTCAGTATCTCGATCGCCTCGTTTGTATAATTGTACCAGACATTAAACTACTCGGGGTTCTTGTGCTCATAGAAGTGAATTCCGAACGATTTAGGGGCGAAGGCGAAGGCGCGCGTGTGTAAACCGAGTTGCAAAATATGCCTCTGGTGCTAATTCTTGTGACACCAAAACAGTGTACGTGCTCGCAGTTCGGTAGCAAGTTTTCTTACTAATGGAGACTCAGCTTTGATATCGCTTACAGACATTGCAATTGTGTAATCGAACAGCCAGGAGATATCCTCTTCGCTGTGAGAGCCAAATGTCTTTTGCGCTTGAGACCAGAGGTAGTTATATGGTGCCTTTACAGATGCTCTAGGAAATGACGCCTTCTTCTTCCAATTCAGTCCATATGTGACATCAAACTCAGTATGATGGGATGATTGTCACCGATAGCCCCTTTGAAACAGGTGATAGTTTGAGAATAGACCAACCCTAGAGTCGCTTTAAACTCTTCAGGTGAATCTCCAAACTTCTCATCTAGCCAGTATCTCTGTCTCACCCAGGATTGATCTTCGAATTGTGGTCCGAATGTCACCTAGTGGAATCAGCCAAGGCGAAGTAAATCTCCTTCATAAAATTTGTCGCACTGTTAGGCTCCATTTTCTCCATAGCAAGGAAGCACTGTAATATTTATATTAAAGTAACTGGTCTCTGTATTGATTTAATCGTTCCGTGGTCATTTGTCCTTTAATTTGAGTCTGTCTGTCTGTTTCGAACGTACATTTTGGAATCTGCCGTACCACGGGACAACGGTGCGGTGCAGTCAGCGATCTCCACTGATCGACCTTCGTATCCTGAATTGGAAGTGCATCTGTACCTGTGACTGCGCGTGTATGACGAGCCCAAAGCTTCGACAAGCTTTTGACTTCATTGTGGCCGAGAAGTCACTAACGGAAAACCTATAAAGGTCGTTCTGAAGGATTGAGCCGATAGCCTTGCTGCCATCAAAATAACTATTATTTTATCAGCCCTTAGCCTCAGCTTGCCCAATATCATATATTGTTCCAGTTACACAAGATGCGACTCGCTGTCATCATCGCCGCCGTTGTCGGCCTTGCCCTTGGAGCTCGCGCAACTGCCGCCCGCCGGCAGACATCCGATCCCCACATCGCCGACTTTCGAACATTCGGCGAGACAGGTTGCTTCAGGGATAATCAAGGCATATGGACTTTCACGCAGTCTGATCTGACTGGTTGCAAGACATTTCCCGATGACCTTCTGGTGAAATCTCTGTTTGCTGCTGACTACAACGATGGCTGTGGAGGTGAGTCGAGAAACCCAAGCCAAGAAAGAAGGGTAACTAATGCATACTTTCAGTATTTGTCTACACTGATACTGCTTGCTCTGTGGGTGACCAGTCTTTGGGAGTTGGTGGCTGTCTCAATGACTATTCCACTGGTCTCAAGTCTTACATCGTCAAGTGCGAGTAGTTCGAAGTAGTTACTCGGGGTAGTTGTGAACAATATGATTAGGGCATTAGAATCACTTGAGCTTGCATGTTGTGGCGTAAATGATACGACTTTGAAAATAGACTACGTAGCTAGAATCTTACAATACTCTACAATAGATAAGAGGCTGACGCATAAGGCACGAGACGATGACAAATAATCTAGGAAATGTGATCGGTGCCATAAATAGCTGCTACGCCGCCCCGCTTGTAAAGTCAAACAGTTCCAAAGTCTCCATCTCAAAGAGAAAGATGAATGTATGAACGAAGTAATAGGAGTATCCAATCAGAATGATCGTAGCAACCAATGTAGCAATTAATCCTTTCACGATAGTCATTTTGACTCCAATGCACATATAACGAATCCGTAGAAGGAGGATATCCGTGGAGCTGGTGCCAATAATGAACAATAGAGGCGCTGCGACGAGGTAGACGAAGCTGCCCGCCACAAAGCCAGGCCCACCTTGTTCTCCGGCTTCGGAAATTGTCGAAACAAAATCGAGAACCATTATAAAAGCTAAGGTGTAAAAGAGCTCCAGGATGAGAAATGCTGTAACCCTGACAGAGCCCTGGGTACGCAGCGGCATTTGAATCGAAGTTGTGGTTACTACGTCAGGGGCGTCAAGATCTTGCAGGCCAGGATGCACCAAACTCAACGGTGGACCCGACTCCAGTATCCCTTGTTGTTGAAGCAAGTCAGAAGTTTGATGCATATGACTGCTACCGGGGGGCCTTGCACAATCTTCATGTCGGCCGTCTTGCAGCATAGAATTTGCGTTACTAAGGAGTACAAAGTGCAGCCGAGAAATGTTCCTGGGTCAAACATACCCGGAAGTATTTCCCACATCCCGAGCAAAGGTAGTAGGAGAAGAAATAGGGGCAGATATTGCCCGTACGACAGCTCGTTGTCAGCCACCACTTTTTGAAAATACCACTTGTACTGTACAGTTATATACAAGCCCCATAGTACAGACACAACGAACCAGAGAATCTTGAATGAACGGGTGTCAGCGAATTCGAGGCCACTCAGTGAAGAGAAAACGGATAGTACAATACTTACGTGGCATAGAAAGGATTCAACAAAACGCAAAACAAACAGGATATATGTCAAACCAATATACTTCACGGCAAGTCCAGTTTCTCTTTTCCTCGGACTCTCTGCCTGGCCCTGAAAGAGGCGTACCTGATAGCGGGCGACTTTCACACTGCAATTTGCTCTATATCGTGAGACATCACCTATAAGTTTGTCAGATTTTGCCTTGAGCCACAAAAGTCTTGAACCGGCCGACTCTCCTCCTTCCGTATGGACTGTCAGTGAGTGATCCAGGACACTCCATATAAGGCCACCTCCTCGACGTAGATAGGTAACTGTGATAAGGCAGAGAGACCAGACAAACGGGAGGTGAGATGCAATACGGTGCCAAGTGGCCGACTTAACCGGCCTTGGGTCCAAAAACTCCGGTTCATAAGACCCGTCGTCAAATTGCCAGCTAAAATAGCAGACGGCCGGGTTGGCGGGTATGATTAACCACTCGGAGTGGCCGGTGGGCACCATACAAGCGAGCAGCAGCCCAAAAACGGTTGTCATTAGTCCAAGTCGCAACCAAGAGAGAGATGGTTTGTGTCGAAAATACGTCCCGAGAATGGGCAATGTGGCAACGTGTGTGACAGAAGCAAACCAAGTCAACTCAACCAGGATTTGCCAGTGATATGATGAGACGTTGCAGCCGAGTGTGAAACCTCCGAGTGGAATTGCGAAGCCGTTAAAGAGCTGGATATCACTGAAGAGAAGTATCGACTAAATTGTCCGTCATTAGATAGTCTTTACACTTGCGAACATATTGCCAGACCTTTTGGCTGCTGCCCGCATCTAGAGACCACGGTGGAAGTCTGCTACGAACCCATTCCCAAGGTCTCGTCTGTCTCACCCAATTCAAGAACGACCGGTCCAAATGAGTGCATAGCCAGTCATCGTTTAGGTCGAAACAGAAGATGTAATAGTAGCTCAAGAGTATCATAACAAATAGCGCGGGAGCGAGGATCGCACATAGCACCTAGTCGCTAGGCCGTAAGATCACCGGCGACATCAACAAAACATGACGGGCCACCTACCCCAATTCCAGCTATGTCAGGTTTCGGCACAAATTTGCCGTCAGCGGTTACCAAAGACCCTGGGTCGGTAGTAGAGCAATTGCAACGAGCCATCACTTCGACATCCCTAGAGCGCTTGCAAACAAATGGGGCAATATAGCATTGAGAATGATATGTTAGCATGACCATGCACTGTTCACGGGGGCCTGCAAGACAAGTTTATGTGCAGAGGATGCCAGCCTCGTGAACAAGTGTAACCCGTATTGGAGGCTCTGAGCCGCAGCCGATGTTCGATGCCGGTGATTGCTTTTGAAGGCGGCGTGTAACAACGTTTACATATTTGTGAAAGTCTAGCTCCTAATTCAATGGCGGATGGATCTACCGGCAGAATACTGTTACTAGCAATTAAGAGTCTACTAGTGAAACCAAATAAAGAAACCATTTGCAATGACACACGGGAGCGTGCCTAGTTGACGCGTTCAAGAGGCTCACCCAGCCTGCTGCTTTCTGACAGACAATGGCTGCCACCACTTAGTTACTCAACTTGAGCTATCTCTTGTAATGGTTCGTACCAAAGATGCGAATTCAGACAGGCGGTGATCAGCGTAAAGGGATCCAGCCAAAATACGCGAACTCCACGTACAAGCTTGTATTTTCCAGGACTACCGAGTCAATACAACTAAAATGGCGAACGTGGTGTAACCATTGTGGGCCTGTGAAAGTGTGAGGAGCTATCACGACATGACTACTCAACACCCGATCCCTCTGAATTAAAGTGCATAGTTATTGAAATTTGGGGCAGGCGCATCGAATACAGTACTAAAAAGCTTCTTCACGATTGCTTTAGCTCCGGACATCAAAATAACATGGTCCAAAGACATTGTTATTAATTAGTCTATTACGTAGTCTTACTGAAGTCTGGCTTACAGTGTGGGGCCCCAAGATAGGTACTTAACGGTCACAAGAGGAGTAAGAAACACAATCAATCCAACAACAACATTGGGGTCAGTTCAGCCGTGTCGCCTGCCTTCTCGATAATAGAACGCTTCCCTCATATCACACACGAGATGTCTCAGCCGTCTAGCACCACCGCCGCTCGGACTGATCAATATCTGCAGCGAGCATACGCGCTAGCCGGGACTTCGGAAGCACAAAACCTGTATGATGAATGGGCTGGTATATATGACACAGACCTCAACGCAACAGGCTATGCCTCTCCCCAACGCTGCGTGGAGACTGTCGTGAAGAACGTCTCATCAACGCCCTCCGGGAAGCTGAAGATTCTTGATGCTGGCTGCGGCACCGGTCTCGTGGGCGACTGCCTGGCTCAGTCGCCTCTATCTGGGAAATTTGTCCTGGATGGAGTAGATCTTAGCCCCGGCATGTTGGCAGCCGCACGGAAAAAGGATGTGTATCGGGAGTTAGAGACGGCGAATCTAAACGAGAGGATCGAAAAGCCTGATGGAAGTTATGACGTTGTCGTGTGCGTGGGGACTCTGACGAAAGGTCATGTTGGACCAAAAGTGTTGGAAGAATTCGCTAGACTAACTGCCAAAGCTGGGCTGATTGTAGCCACAGTACATGATGAAGTTTGGGAGAGCGGTGGTTACAAAGATGAAGTTGAAAGGTTGCAGAAGGTCGGTGCTGTACAGATCGTGAGTACAGATGAATTTGGGATTCTACAAGAGGCAACTACAGGCGGGAAAATGCTCGTGCTGAAGAAGTAATGATAGATATACAAGTTATAATCTGAAGAGCTTGGTTTGCCTGGTCTAAGTCACCGCTGTCACTCATGAAATTTGATTGATGTGTTGCCTATAGCATTCTAATTTGAGGGCATACTTTGTTGTAGCCCTGTCATGAATTGGCACTCAGTTCACCTTGCATCTGTTGGCGTGATTGTGGCACAAGACGATAACCGCGAGATACTCGAGTCCTTCGAAGGCAAAACCTACTCTGCATCTGGAACACCTCACAAAGCAACAGGAGATCACATACGTTGCAGGTTTGCTTTGAAGAAACTCGGTGCAATCCGCAATTAAGATTTAACGTTATTTGTCGCTATGAGCTACTAAAGATTCGAGCCCGGTGAGATATTACGATTCCGATGGCCTCGGACTCTGGCTTTAGCGCTTGATATAAAGAGACATTGTGCCCCCACTTTGCGTCCTCTCACCATTCCAGCGCAAGTAACCATTTACACCTTCAACTTACAGACCCCAATGCGAGATCATCATGTTCGAACATTTCGCGCTGAGGCACATCCCGCCTCTACTACTCGCCAGTATCTGGACCCTTGGCGGAGCCATGTCTTTCACTCACGGCCCCGAAGCTGCGCTCCTGGCATACGGCTTCTCCCAGAACATCGCCTCCTCAAAAGCAGCATGGCCTCTTATTAAGGTCGAGGGTTCCCGTGTTACCACGATTGGTTTGGCTTTATGGGGCATTTACCTGGGCGGGCATTTGGAAGCAATGGATATCCTCCTCGCCTGCATTGGGTGGATGGCGGTGGTCGATGGCGTGGTCTGCGTAAAGGACGGCGCTCCCGGGTCTGCTAGGATGCGTGCGACATACCAGGGTGTAGTTGCGCTTTGGGGCTTGTTGGGCATGACTTCTGGCAGGTACTTCTAGGTCAGGCACTCCGGGGACCCATCAACATACCATAGGGCTGCAAGATCAAGAAAAGTGAAAGATAAGAAGCAAGTGGTGAACAAGCAAGTCCTTACGGATACCAGGTCAGAAACTTTTAACTAATACTCAAGCAGGAGTGTCACCTACCCCGACCAGGCTGGCTACTCTTCTTTGACAGAGGACAGCCGGGCCCCTTGCAGACTAAGTAAGCCCAGTAAAAAAAGTAATGAGGGGACACAAAAAGAGAAGAACTTAAAAGCCTTTGATCTAGCCCGGGCTTGAACCGGGGACCTTCAGTGGAACAACATCATAGAAGAGGAACTCTTATGACCAATGTTAGACTGACGTGATAAACCAACTACACCACCAGACCGGTAATGAGGGACAAACGGGTTATTTTGGCTTATGCAGAGTTTTCCAGGCGGCGTGGTGGTGTGCGCGGGTATCGAGGGTGGGCGGATGAGTGGGTGGCCGAGTGGGACGTGTTAGTCTTGGCCAGCTTTCAGATTGTAGGCCGCCAGGAGCCAGGGCACACACAAGGGGAGCCAGTCTCGGCCAGGCTAGTCCAGTACATAGTAACCAGGGACCACTGTAGCTCCACTGGCGAGGGGCAGGCTCGGCAGGGAATGAGATGAACGGGTGGCCCTGTAAGCAGCGGGAGGGGGATCCAATTGCTGGCGCCTCTAAAGCCTCATGCGGTATCTTATGACTACTCGAGTACTCCGACAGGAACGGAGATACGCTATGCATTCTAGCGTGGCTTTCGCTGCCCTAAACAGGAATTTCTAGCTGGAGGTCCATATTCGATAGCCGTTCTGGTGAATTAAAGCAGCCCGCTGTGGGATCCCACGGGTTGTGCTCGTGTCTAAGAGCAGCAATGAAAAACATCGTGAGTTTTTGCACAGGTACAGGCCCAGAAGGAGTCGAGCGGTGTGGTTACCAGCCGTTCTAGTCGAATTTTTTTGCCACCTGACACACTACATTTGGCACAGGCACAGACACCGGCACCCCCTCGTGACATGGACGAAAAAAGAATGCTAGAGGTGCCCGCACTTGGCCGTCGTCTCTGACAGCCAAACGCGTGGCGCCCGTCCCGTCGTCTGCTTGTTGGTGGCTTGCCGGCCGTCCTCAGTCACTCACTCAATCAGTCAGTCAGTCAGTCAGGCACTCACTCACTCACTCACTCCCGTAACTTACACACCTTGCACGCACCTCGCCGTCTATCCCGGCACGGGCACGGCACTCTTGCGCCGAGACTGTCAATAGCCCTCTTGGTCCGATCCCGTAATTGCAGGCGTTTGTACGTTCGTTCGTTGTGATGGAAGGATTCGCCCGGCCTTTCCCGCCCAGCTTCGCAAACGGGTCATCCTCGGCCGGCATCGGGATTGCTAGTCTGGGCCCCGATCCGGGGGACTTGCCTCTGGATATCCCCCTAGGCATTGCCGATCAAGCGTGCAAGGAGTGTCGAAGGAGGAAGGCAAAGTGTAACAGAGCCATCCCCACTTGCAACCTCTGTGTCAAGTACAGGAGACACTGCCTCTACGAGAAACATTCTCGTACGCCATTGACAAGGAAGTCCGTTCACCCGCTCCCCTAGTCCATCGTCGTCTTGGACCCTTCTGCCATTCCTCACCAGTTGATGCTGACTCCCATACAGACATCTTACCGAAGTTGAAGAGCGGCTCGAAAGAGCCGAAGCGCTTGTCAGGCAATTGCGCTCTCTTCTGCCACCACATCTTCGGGGGATCAACTCTGCTCCACAAACACCGCTGAGAGACGAGCCTTTCGATTTTACGCGGCTTGACCAATCCTTCCCTTCCTCGAGCGAGGTGCCTCAGCATGATGAGGCCGATGGGACAGGAGACATTCAAGCTCAGGGGGTTCAATTGGATGAGCACCCGCACCATGGCGCGGAGATTGAGCCCCCGTCAGCGTCCCCAGGCAAAAAGGTGACTGAGCGTAGGAGAGCTTTTGCTCTAGCACCTACGGTTACCGAAAAGGAGAACTCTAAGAATGTTCCCAACATCCTAGAGAGTCCTCCTATAGCCGAGGATTTCGAATGGGACGAGCGGGTAACTTTGGACTACACTCCGTTTGGGTCTGAGAGCCCTCAAGAGGATGAAGGCGCTTCTGTTGTTGACGGAATGGCTTCCCTCACCGTTAGCGAGAAGCAAGGGGGCTATCTGGGCGTGGCCTCGGGCGCAGCCTTGCTCCGCATATTGGAACCGTCGCTGAAGAAAACTTCTCCAAGGTCAAGACCGCTCTTAAGTTCCAATTTGCTCACCACACAGCCCAACCCAAACCGGCATATCGCTGACACCATGATTGATGCCTACTTCCGAATGTTCCATCTCAGCTACCCCATAGTGCACGAACCTACCTTCCGAGCACAGTACTCGCAAGTGATCTCTCGTCCGCATGGCGATTCGTGGCTGGTGCTTGCATATGTTGTTGCGGCCATCGGCGTGTTCACTTCGGCTATTTCGATGGATGACAATCTTGACCTCGGCCTTTTTGCCCAGGCCAGGTCAATTCTGTCTTTCAACTTCCTGGAAATTGGCAACCTCACGCTCGTTCAAGCCTTGACGCTCATTGCGAACTATCTGCAGAAGAGGGATAGACCCAATTCGGGCTATAACACTTTAGGTATCGCGGTCCGAATGGCCATGGGTCTAGGTCTACACAAGGAATTCCAGGGTTGGAACATCTCCCCCCTGAGCATGGAGATTCGTCGTCGTGTCTGGTGGTCACTGTGTGTATTCGACAGTGGTGCGACCATAACGTTTGGCAGGCCCCTTGTCTGGCCCTTTGAAGGCATAGAGGTCTCGCTGCCAATGAACGTGGATGACCGGGTAAGTTCACAACATCTACATGCTCTGAAACGTTGCTAAGTTCATGCTACAGGAACTCACACCGATATCTAAGTCCTATCCGCCGGAAAGCAAAGGGGTCACTCCATACACGGCAGTCGCAGCTCAGGCAAAATTCCACCTGGCAACGAACGCCATCTACGCTCGGGTGATTTCAAAGCCTCTGCCCTCAGCTGAGGAGATCCTTCGCTTGGACGAGGAACTACTTGACTCGTGGCTAGAGGGCATCCCAGCTTTCTTCCGGGAGAACGCTCCCGTACCGGAGCGGTACGCCTTCGCCAAGGACGCATTACAGTGGCGGTACAGAAACATCCGTATCATCATGTACCGCCCATTCGTGATTCGCAAGGCTCTCCACGCACGAGACGGCCGCCGTGATGATGCATCACCGGAGACTATGCGAGCGTACGAACGATGTCTTGAAGATGCCAAGATCACTATATCGTCAATTCGTGGCTACTGGGCGGTGCACGAGCACAACCGCTTTGGAGCCTGGTATGCGCTGTACGTGTTATATCCATCCCCTTTTCTCGTCATGATGAATTATTCCTAACATGCAACAAGGTATTACATCTTCCAAGCCGCGCTCATCCCTTGCATCTGTCTCCGCAACGACCCTGCCTCGCCGCAGGCCTCAGACTGGCGGGAGCAGATCGCAACAACACTACAAACCATTGCCTCGCTGGCGTCCGTCACGCCCAGCGCAGGCCGCTGCCACCAGGTCATCTCCGAGCTGTGTGGCCGCTATCTCGACGCCGCCGCCGCCACGCCAATGTCGGCAGCGTATCTACAGACGGACGGATCGCAGGACGACGGTCCCCTAATTGAGAGCAAGGACACGATTTCCCTGGGCGGGAACTCGCCCTACGTGCCCGACGCGGGCCAGGTCTCGTTCGACGACCTGGGGCCGATAGACGAGAGCCCGCAGACGCAGATCAACAGCGTCTTCACGATGATGTGGCCTAATGTGCCGCCCATGGAGGCGGCGGATCTAGTAATGGGAGAAGACGCATGGATGGATTTCTTAATGGGCGAGGGCGCCGGGGACGATAGTAATGTCAACTTGGATAATGATGGGCTAGGTATGATGTAGTCGCTAATGAAGAGCTGTCAAAAGAAACAACCGTCCCCATGCCTTCTTTGTGAAATGGCGGGAGCGTCGTCTATCTTGAGATCAAATCCGTTATACGTAGTTCTCTCAGCATCAAGCTAAGCAGCCGGGTCTTATCTCTTGTGAGATTTAGGGGTATCATCGTCACTCGCATATCAAATTGAGAAGCTAAAGCCCTAGTTAACGTGGCGGCGTGGACGGCAACCCTCCTGCTCGCATTGAAATTTGAAGAGGCAAAACCGAACCTCGCAGAGTGTGCTGACGACTGTCAGGGTTGACGCCTTCGATGATCCAGAAATTCTCCGAAGATGGAATCATGTGGGAGATCAACAAGATCATTCATGAAAGTCTAGCGGGTGATAGCGTGCACAAGATGATGGCTAGAGCTCTAGGAGAGGTCGCCAACATCTTGAACATGAGCTCTAGGATCACGCGTAGGAAAGGTTGGGAAGATGTCAAGTGGAGGTTCGATTGTGCGGGCTATTAGGCATAAGACATGATCAGATCGACAGTAGAGGAAAGCACTACGTTGCACGAAATGAGCCTACGTGTCCGATATAGCGTCCGATCTAGTTGAATCCATTGTTCTAGATTTTGATGCTGTGCAACCCGTTCAACGACACCTTGACTTGCCTCGTCAATTATCTATCAGCCTCATTACGCCGTCTTCCCCTTTTCTGCCGCCAGTGCCTGGAAGCCGTGAAGGAGATCCGCCTTCAGGTCCTCCCACCCCTCAACACCGATGCTGACCCGCAGCAGAGTCTTCGCGACGCTCTTGTCCGTCATGGCACGCCATTCGATCAGACTCTCCACGCCGCCCAGACTGGTCGCATGATGGAACAGGTGCAGCTTGCTAGGCAAGCGCCGCGCATCCTCGGCATCCTTCATCAGAATCGAGAACACCGGCCCATAGCCCTTGGGCATCTGCCTCCTGAGCCACGAGCCCTCCTCCTTGGCCGCGGGCTGCAGGCTCGCGTGCTGCAGCCTGTCGACCGTGCGGCCGACCAGGCTCTCCCGGTCCTCCAGCTCGGCCGCCAGCCAGCCGACGAGGCTCGCGGCGCTGGCGCTCTGGCGCTCGACGCGCAGCTCGAGGGTGCGCAGGCTGCGGACGCCGAGCCAGCCCTCGAGGCTGCCCATGACGGAGCCGAGGAAGAGGCGCTCCTCGCGCAGGCCGTCGAGCCAGCCGTCGTCGCGCGCGCGCCGTGGGTGCACCGCCAGCACGCCGCTCAGCATGTCGCTGTGCCCGCCAAAGTACTTGGTCCCCGAGTGCATGGCGATGTCGACGCCGTACGCGAACGGGTCCTGCAGCGGCGGCGGCGCAAACGTCGCGTCCACCGTCAGGTAGCAGCCCAGCTCGCGCGCCAGCTTCGCGTAGAACGCCAGGTCCCGCGCCTCGCCGGTCGGGTTGAGTGGTGTTTCCACGTGCATCACGTCGCCGGGCTGTAGCTTCTTCAGGTCCTCTGGGTCCTCGAGCTCGAGCTGCTCCAGTCCGTTCAGCTTGGACAGCACCTTGATGACGCCGTGGCATCCATGGTAGCCGCCGCCAATAGCAACCCTCTTGGGGTTGAGGAAGACCAGCATGGCATGGAAGGCGGCCAGACCGGAGCTGTAAGTGATAGCTGGACCCTTGAGGAGACTCGTCAAGATAGCCTCGAAGCGAGTGGTGTTGGGTGCGCTGTCGCGGCTGTACACATGGCTGTCAAAAGGGGCATTTGGGTCGGTGTTGTTCCAGGCAGACAGCTTGTCCGGATCACTGTTGTAGCGGAAGGTGGTGCTAACGTGCAGGGGCGGCGCCACGGCCCGGTGGTTGTTGATATAGTCGTCTGCATGGACGGAGAGCGAGGACAGCGACAATTGATGGTCAAAGTTGGAGGCCAAGTCCGCAGCACCCTCCGGGACGAAGGAGGGGCCGGCCTGTGCTGGCCGTAAGCCGGACGCCGAGGTGTCGACCCCGGCCGGCGCATGGCCGTTGGAGGCCGGAGCTGATGATTGATCCGCCATGTTTTTCTCAAGTCTAGACTATCTCTCGAGTCAACGCAAGAAGTAAGAAGATCAAGTAGAAAAGCCAAATTTAGGAAATAGACGGGAGGTCTATAATTGCAGTGGACCAGGCTCGCGAATCATGTGTGTGCGCGCAACGGCGGGCGGCGTGCTGGGTCTTCAACACATTCTGCATGGTGTAGTGCGTGACGTGACGGGCTTGACACATTTTGGAGCGGGGCTGAACCTGCCAAAGCTGAGTCTTGAGCCGTCAGTTTCCAGTGGTAATTCCACCTAAATTGGCGCAATGGCTGCAAAACCGGTGCGCCATGAGCTGTGTCAGTCCTGCTCCGGTGTTAGCGGGACTCCGCTATCGGGCCACCTGCGGGACCTGGCGGGCGGGACTTGCGGCTCGGGCTCTGTTGATAAGACCCGGGATTTGCAAGATCGATCTGCCTTGCTAGACCCTGAACGCTACAGATCCGCTTGAGGTTCTGCAAGGTACTATCAAAAGGGATGTCAAGAAGTTGATCCATGCACATAACAGCCGTTTGATCATGCCAGTGGAAATCAAGTTCACTGATGGCCTTGAAAGTTGCAGAGACAGTAATTGAATTCATTAGCATTAAGGAGGGGCCAATATGCCCCTGCCCTGATCATACGAGTATATCTAAAACCCAGCAATGCTCCAGTTGACTCCGTACCCGTCTTTGAACGAGTGTTCTGTGTATAGCCCGTGTCTAAGTGTCATAATGCTGTAGCGAGTGCGCCCGATGTCAGTTGGGCTCCAATGAGCCGTCTGTCCATCCTCCCTATATCCCAAAGCAGTCGAATTGTAGTATATACAAAGCTTTTCGTATGTAATAAGTCGAGTGGCCGTTTATGACTGGACCTCGGTCTCTACCGAGCCGGCGGTCCCAGGCCTATCCATCGCACCAAGCTCGGCACCCTGGCCGCTCTGGCCGCGCTTCCGGCCTGAGATCAAACTAAACCTCGACGCAGTCGGGGAGCCAGTTGATGTTGGCTCTGGGTGGGAGTCTCCAAACTTGGAGAAAAATCCGCGCTTCTTTGGTTGTTGCTGCTTGGTGTCATCGTTCAAGCCGACATCCTCAAAGTTCTCCTCTTGTGTTGGTGGCTCCTTCTCGAAGCGTCGCTGCGTGAGGGAAGAGCGCGGCATGCGAGGGAACCTTGCAGAATCGAGACTCTGACGGGTAGGGGCATCGTTCGCGACGATGGGAGAGCGCGCCGTGATATCCTGCGGGGAGCGAGTCAATAATCAGCAGCGCTGGCAATTGAAGGTGGGGAACATACAAAGGAGCGGCGGTATGAATCAAAGGACTCGCGCGAGATTGAGAAGTGCTCGATGTCGCCTGTGGTGCTCAGACTCCTCGAGTCGGTCGACTTCCTCGACAGGTATTTCCCCGGCCAAGTCGCCTTGTCTTCGGTGGGAGACGGCTATAGGCTCAATGTTAGCGCTGAATGGCTCGCCGTATGAGGGGAGGAGCGACTCCGTACGGGAAGGTAGACACCACTGTCATTGACGACTAGAGCGGTAGATGTCAGCCGGGTGCGTTCAGCGATAGCAGTGGCCATTGACCAGTCGGAAGAGGGGGACAATCCGAGGCTTACCGCTCATCTTGTACTCGCCATTGTCCTGGCTCTTTCGGCTGGCGACGCTGAGGGCTGACGAAGCCTTGGAGCCGACGGTGTCGACTCTTTCGAAGCCGGGGGTGGCCTTAGAGCCGTCGGAGGAGCCGGGGCGGACATTCTCGTCCTGAGTGATGGCAATGCCAGGGCGTCTGGCGAAGGGATTGCGAATAGGCATGGTGTGGAGCCGTGGCAGTGATGACGTCGGAAACGTCGGAAGCGATTCTGCAAATTGGAGACGGAGACGCTTGGGCTGGCGCGCAACGGTTGCAGCGGTTTTCTATGGCTGGATGGCAGGAAAATAGTGTATCATGGGATGGGTAAGAAAGGGATGAGGAGATATGGCTGTGGTGGTTTCGAATAAGAGGCGGGAGGGAAAGTCTCTGTAGTTTTGTGGTGGTGGTGGTGGTTAAGGTTGTTTGACTGACGATGGGATGGAGATGGGATTGGTTGGGCAGGCCGGATCAGGGTCAGGTCAGAATCAGATTGTCTTGGAAATAGCGTATTTGCAGTACTAGAGTAGCGTATTGTCCCACTGTTGGAAGGTTGGAAGGTTGGACGGGAACGGCCTCGGGGCACACAAAGCCAGCAGCGCCCCGACCGATGGATGGGGTGGGAGGGTGGCTTGGACTGAGGGGACCCTGCCGAACCTGGCTGCTTTCCCAGCTGCAGGTAAGTTAACGTTAGACTTTTGCACCAGTCGCATTGCATCCTTTCCCCTTCCACAGACGAGACCGTTTGCCCAGTTTGGTCCACCACCTCACCACCTCGCCAAATCGGCCCTGAGGATCAGCGACATCCGATTCAAGTCCAGAATCTTGGATCCGCCGTCAGATCTTTTCTTCGACTGGGCCGGCCCTACGGCCTCCCTGATCGGCAGCCCCTCTGTGCACTCCATCCACTCGAGCCACTCTCTCTTCAGGCTGTCCCTCCATCACCACCCGAGAATCGACCAAGCAAGCCCAGCCCGAGTCAACGCCGGGTCCGGCTCATTGGCCGTCACGGCCGATCACAGTCTCAAACCTTTCAATTGAGTCGCAATCAATCCATAACATCTTCCAATGAGGGCATTCCCAGTGGGTTCCGGTCCATCCGACATAGCCATGCTCCATGCTCGCCCTGCTAGCCGTGCTGAGCCCTCCTGTCGGTCCATGTCGATGATCCATTCCCATCCCATCCCCTGTGGTTCAAGCCCTTCCCGCTTCCAGAAGATCTACCCCGGATTCTGTTCCTTGTTTGCCACCGTGCACAAGCCTGGCACTCCCCCAGCAAGCAAGCCCGCTGGGACCCTGCAAGGCACCAACTACTGCATAGTATGCCAGTCTTGTCGCTACGCCCTGCCAAAACACTTGGTTTAGCGTGCCAAGGCATCGATGATGTCTTCAGGTCAAGCTAAGCTGGGAAGTCGATGCGTTGCAAGCCGTCGTCATAAGCAGATGGATCATGCATCCTCTCGGGGCCACGTTTTCCGTCACATAGTGTCGCCAGCGCGAACTCAGCTCGCTTAGTCACTTCACCTTACTGTCTGTGTCTGTGTTTGTGGTTGTGTTTCTTGAACGGGCTTTACTCAATTGTGTTTATCGGCAAAATTCACGACAACTCGAGCGAACCCTTCAGGATTTTCCTCAGCAACGTAGTGGCCCGCATCATTAATGACCGCAAGCTCATAAGTCCCCTTCTCATGAACTTCACCAAACATCTCCTCCGCCTGCGCAGCATGCCTGCTCTCCTCCCCGCTGAGCCCTAGCGTCGGGACCCCGCACTTGCCATTCTCTCTCCACCACTGCTCATTCTCCTTCGCATCGAGCAGGAACGCCCGGTACACCTCAAAGCCGCAGCGCATCGCATCATCGCGGCTGTATTCGCGGACGTAGTAGTCGATATCCTCCGCCGTGATGGCGTCCCGGTTGAAGATGATCTTGTGGAAGAAGTGCTCCAAGTAGATGCGGACCTGCCGCTCCCCTGACACGAGCTGCTCCGGCAGCCCTGGCACGCAGTGGAAGATGAAGTGGAACTGCTGGATCGCATTGTCCGTCCGGTCGCGGTAGTAGACCGCCGTGCCGGGCAGCGGGCACTCGCCCCAGTTCAGGCTCTTGACGCGGCCGGGATGCCGCGAGGCAAGTGCGTAGGCAATCATGCCGCCTATATCATGTCCGGCGATGTGCACTGGCTCTTTGATATCCAAGTGATCTAGAAGAGCGACAATATCAGATGCCATCAGCGTCTTGGTGAAGTCCGTTCCATTCTCGCTGCTGAGCTTGCTCGAGCCTCCTGCACCACGATAATCGGGGATGAGAACACGGCAGCTGGTAGCATGTCAATCATGACATAGACGTGTATAAACTTTACCCACTGGCTCACCCTGCATTTGTTATAGGCCTGATGACCTTGCGGAACTGATATGCAGTTTGTGGGAATCCGTGAATGAGGACGATGACCCCTTTTGGTGCCTCGTCTGGGATACTATCAACATAGGCCAGATATACACCGGAGTCGAGCACAGCCGTCTGGTATGTGAAATCCATTTTGACTCAACATTTCAAGAGTGAAAACGGCATGGTAGACGACGGGGAGATTGCGATCAAGCTCACGATCGTGATTATTGTATTCAATGAGCCGATGATGTCATAGCGACCGCCTTCTCCTACTATGACGCTCCGTAAGCTGCTCCGTGAACTCCGACCACAATATTAGGAAATAGATTTTCAATAGAGGACAGAAGAGCGCTACCAGATACATGCCTCTATACATCGGTCCGTCCGGGCATTTTCGGGGTCGTATTGAAGGTCAACCGGTCTGTAGCACGGGCCCGGCTCCGGTCCCTGCTACCGCACCCCGGAAGTTTTTATCACGGCGGCCGTACGTCTTTGAATTGACCCATTTCCGTGAATATTTTATTAGAAGCCCATTAAAGTGCTCAATCTGCGAGTAATTGTCGCATGAGTCTCTACATGTCCTCCTTAACTTCTTCTCTGTAACCTATCTCAGCCTCGTGCAGCTCAAAGCGGCTTTAGGGGCAGGCACTTTAATACGGCGGTCAAGCCCAGCAACATCCATTTGCCTCAAATTTCTCCAATATCACCTGAGTCTTGTACGTCTGTCGTTTATATGGCTTAAGCCCTCTACGGGAGACTTTCGCAAATTGCGTTGGGAATGAGCATTTGACGATGAGTGACTCCGGAGTACCGCGTCCAGGGGTCTGGCGTGCCAAGCCACTTTAACACCCGACCCGCTACAGGGATCCCCCGAAAGCCCCAAATAATTTGACATCACGTCCTAAACTTCAGGAGACCTTTCCCACAGCCAGCGCTCTTCTTACTACGGACCTCAGTCCCAATGCATCAAACCACCCACGCCGCCATCAGATGAGCAGCAAAAGTAGAAGAAGCAGCAGCAGATGAAGCGGCCGCCCTCCCGATGCTCGGCCTCCCCTCTCTCTTCCGGCTGCCGTCCAAGCTCCGCCGCCGCGCCCGCCGGCGCCGCATGGCCACGCTCCTCGGGCTCTGCGCGCTCTGCGCCCTGCTCCTCGTGCCCTTCTACCTCATCTACAAGCCGCCGCGCTTCGTCATCCGCTACTTCGCCTACCGCTGGCCCGACGTCCTGTGGGAGGTGACGCTGCCGCCCGACGCGCAGAAGGTCATCGCCCTGACCATCGACGACACGCCGTCCGAGTACACGCGCGAGATCCTCGACGTGCTGCGTGAGAATGAGGCGCACGCGACCATGTTTGTCATTGGTGGGCAGGTGTCCGGTCGCGAGGAGGTCCTGCGGGAGATAGTCAAGGGCGGGCATGAGCTGGGGAATCACGCCATGCATGACGAGGCTGCGAGGGGCCTGACGACGGAGGAGCTCGAGGAGCAGATCTACAAGACCCAGGAAATGATACGGGAGGCATACAAGGCGGAGGGCAAGGACGGGCCGCCGCACCAGTACTTTCGGCCCGGGTCGGGGTTCTTCAGCGACCGCATGCGGGCTCTGGTCGACAAGCTCGGCTACCGACTTGTGCTGGGTAGTGTTTATCCGCACGACCCCCAGATTAGTTATTGGTGGGTGAACGCTCGGCACATCTTGAGTATGGCGCGGCCGGGTGCCATCATCATATGCCATGACAGGCGGAGCTGGACAGCACCGATGCTGCGAAAAGTGCTGCCGGAGCTGAGACAGAGAGGATATCGCGTTGTCTCTGTAACAGAGCTACTGAAAGCGGCCAAGATCTGATTCGGTCATTCTATTGGGCATAGCGTGGCGTCGAGTATGAGGATAGTCACAATACCATAGCACTTCTTACACGTTGGATATACAAGACAGGCTTGTCTTCTTATCTAAGATTTCATTATTCAGGACGGACTTCGTAATGTCAAGATGTGAAACGTGACCCTTTCTCTTCCTCTCTTTTAGGTACACATGCGCAACTTTATTTTGCAAATGACAGAGAATTGTGTGGGAGGAACCATATTCCCAAAATAGGATGTCCTATCTTAAAGAGAAATCCAATTTTACCTCCAAATCGCCAAGGGTTACCCCCCACAAGCTCCAGCTTTCATCAGCGTCGATATGTGCCAATTGTATACACGTGCGTCGGCTTGCGTGCTTGTCTCGGTAAGATTGCCCTTGCTTGAACAATAATGCGGGTTCCGATAGAAAGCGCCTTGTATTTACGACAAATGACTTCTTTTTGTTCCGCTTCAGCAACGCTTGTAATCTGTCCGCATTCGGTGGGAGAATGTCTTCAATAAATCGATTGAGAGTCATATAATGTGTTGCGGCTTTCTCAGTCACCTTATTGAAAAGAAGTGATAAGTTGACTCCATCAATGGGTTGATCCTTCAGCAGCATCTCCAAGATGTCCCATCGATCATAAAGATTCCCAATCTGATGTTCATATATCCAGGTCGCCATGTCCATGATGACGAGTAGTAGTAGAGGCACGCTTCTAGAACTTCCCCATTCGGACCGAGACAAATTGTCTCTTGTTTCAAAGCACTCGATTCTATCCATAGGACATGCTCCTTTTTCCAAGAGCTTACGAACCAAATGCCTCTTGTTTCCCATCGCTGCAGATAGCAGTATATGATGTGTTCTGCTGCCCCTCAGCAGCTCTGGCATATTTGTTGTTTGTTCGAGAACATAGTCCGTCAGTCCATAGTGTGCAGCTAAGCTGAAGAATCTCAAACCTTCAGGGTCGTCCATGACATCTCTCAATGTCGAACATAGAGATGGACCCGGTTGCTTCGGCATGATGCCCAAAGGCATGGACCTCAGACTGCGATGAAAGCCTTCTAGGAGAGCTGTGGGAAGCTCCTCTTCAAAACCGATCTGCATGGCACCATAATGGTCTCTCACGGCGTCTATCTGGGAGGGTAAATCTGATAATATTAATTCGGCAAGGAAAAGACGATAGTAAGTCTCTATTTTTGTGACCCATGAAAGTCTATCAGTTTTATATTCCAATCGAAATCGCTCAAGGACAAAATCACGCAGGGTTCGATGGAAAAACTGGACTCGCTCTATGGCCTCAAGGGGTTTATAGCTAAACTGAGACAGCATTGACGTAGTCTCAAGCAACCCCTTCGTTAGGCTTTTCAGCTGTAATCGAACATCTTGCGCGGTTTCTTCATAAGATCGCCAGGTTGGTGGTCGCTTTCCGTCGCACGGTGGAAATTTAGGGTCATTCAGCTCGCCAACAAACGCGTACATAACACTGCTCAATGGTGGCCAGTATGGGCGATGAGCTGTCATCAGCAAAAACAGTTCAGCCCGTTTTCTGTCGTCCGGGCTAAGAGATTCCAGTATTCTCGCGTACAAATCGCCGATGTCCGACGGCATAACGTTAAGTTTATGTTCCAGTAACTCTTCTTTGTCATGGCGTATCATTCCCTCCAACAATGAAATCATAACTAGGCGTGCCCACAGAAACACCCCTTGGGATTTGTCAACCACTTTTGCCACCATATGTGTATGGTGCATGAGAACATCCTCTCCAAGGTTATCTTCAATCATTTTGCAACTGGAGAGGTAGATATCATGTCTCGTCAGATCGTGGAGGTGAATTATCTGATCAGATGATGCCGCCAGCTTATCAAATTCGATATAGGGCCGCGAGCTCGCACAGATCTTCACATCGACTCCGCTTGTCCAACGCTGCATGTCTCTTGCAAGCTTCAGCTGTTGTGGTAGACTACCGTCATACTCGTCAAGACCATCCACGAAGAAGCAGAACCGATGCTTGGGAAACGAGCCATTGCTGACCAGAGCCTCGAAGGCGCTTTGAGCATCTATATCGGTGACCAAGTCTTCCCGAACGTGAGGCACACCATTTCCTAGCATGTTCCATTGCCTGGGAAACACTTGAGGGATGAGATCCGGACAGTACTTCAGTGTCTCATATAGGATTGACCGGTGAAGCCCTGGCAGAGTCATTTGCATATTGTCGTTCGAAGACTTCCAGAAAAAAAAACCGAGCAAGAACTAGTGTTTTTGTCTCACCAGCCCAGGCACGGAGGTCCTCACGTGTTTGTGCCTGAGAACAAAGATATTTCATCAAGGTCGACTTTCCGGAACCAGCTTTGCCTGAAATGTGGAAAATTCCGTCACCGCTCCTGAGCCACGTTCTAAAATAATTACGAGCTACGGCTCTCTTCCTTAATTCTTCCTCTCGTATCTTATGGTTTTGTACTTGGCTGTATGTTCGTTTCAAGGTTGTTTTAGCAGTGTTTTCAGCCGGTTCCGGGGACTGTAAGCGACTATCAACATTATCGGGGCGGCGGTCCATGATATTCCCCTCGCTTTCGTCGAAATCTTCGCGATTGTCTTTGGAATGTGAGCTCCAAGTATCTAAAGATGTGTCATCGAGGCTGCTGCTGCTGCTGCTCTCGGAGCTGCCAGCCAATTCCTGTTCCTCCTCAAACATCCATTCAAAAGTTCCAGCCTCAGCACTATCCATACTTGTCTCTCTGAGCTTCATTGTCGAGAAAAAGATGCTCTGCAATATGGCGTTTTCCTTCGGAACATTGACCATCATTGTGGATAATGCACTGAGGGACTCCTGAACGTCCATGGCTCTTTCAACAGGGGGTTTATCAAGGTCAACATCTACTTCCTTATCCCCCGTTCTCTCAACAAGCTGTGTTACGCTTCTGAGGATGTCTTCCCTCAATGTCTTTAGTTGGTTCGCACTCTCGTTGGAAAAACTCAATCCTTCCGCCTCGATTCTATCAAGTTGGACTTTGATGGAGCATTGTTGGTCACTGTCTTGCACATTAGTAGACATACCAAATTGTAAACCTTGTTTCTCTAAGCTGACATACTTCAACATCAAGTTCAATCTTAGTAGAACTTCTCCACGATATTTATCAAGTCGAGCCAGCAACATCAAAACGTCGCTCTCCTTTCGGACATTCCGTATTGCGACCTTCATGATTTTCCATGGTGTACGCTTGCCGGATACGGTAAGTCTCTTAAGGAGTTGTTGCAACTCTTGCGCTACATCTCTACATTTCTCAGCAAGTCGATTCAACGCCTTCTCATGCTTTGTATTGCCAGGTAGTGTGGCCAAGTCAGTGGCGGCGTCGTCAAGGTCATTGGCAATAGTCTCGATGTGTGCATTCTCTTCGGTCGAAGCCTTCTGGTACAGCTCATCAGCTCCAGTCACGACCTTTTGCGCGAAGTCGACAAGTGTCAGGATGGCAGACGCCAGCCCAATTGCTGAGATCGGATCCATTCTGACGAGGCTGCGTATGGCCCGCCCAGTTAAAGTGACTGCCACGTGGGGTAGATGCGCTCGGAGGAAGGTAGTATCGGTGATTTCGCTTGCACGCTGGCTCTTAGGAGCAACAAAAGAAGTGTTTTACTCAAGATCCGGAGCGACCAAAGTTTTCTGTGCGCAATTTGACAAGTGTTGGTAGAATTGTGCCCAGGCTGCGGCCATGGGAGGCCGAATCTCGTTGGGTAGACGCAGGCTTCGAATTCAGCGTATGATTCGTCGCCTGCTGTGTGCCGCCACAACTTTGAAGTGACCTACTTGACCGATTGGGCCATCGACACACCCTTGATTGTGGGAAGTCTATGAAGTTTGTGCACATGTTGGTTTGACTCGTGCTTTAGAATACAAGTCGAAATCTGCGCTTTCACACTGATGCTAACAACTACTTTGAAATTCATATCTCGCACAGGAGTACAACACAGCATTTGAAGCAAAGCAGTAAGGCGGCTAGCTCTGGTCCACAGATTTGATTTGGATGTGAGGAAGCTTCTGATTGGGGCGGTCGTCTCATTGACTTGCGGATGTGCAGTGCCGGTCCCCATTTTTCATCGGCGACCTACCGGGAAGGACAGCTTATTCGGAGCCTTACCGTATTTAGTTCCGATACACGAAGTATCGGTCCTTGGCAGAAGGATTCAAGCTGATGCTCGCATTGATGCCAAAACCCCTACTGAGTAGAGACCGAAGAGTAGTAAGACGGCTCGCTAAGCCGTCGTGTGTAAGCTCGTAAGTCATCGATCGTATTGAGATTATGTAGCTAATATACAAACGATGAGTATAAATTAAAGACGAAAACTCCATTCCATGGCGAAGTGTTCATTCCGTCCCTCCTGTTCAGGCCCCCAGATGCAAGAACAGTTCCCTGTTCCAGCCATTAAGTTCATTATCCATACAGTCATAAACCCTTGAGGGCACATCATAACACATTATCCACCATGGCTGATAACGAAATCAACCTGCCCCCTCCCAAGCGGTACATTACCACCAATGACCCCAAAACCGGAAAAGCCGTCTTCAGCAAAGCGATGCCCGTTGAGGCAGAGGGCAGCGACCTCCTGAACGCGAAGCTCTACAATCTCTATACAACATCGACGTTCCCGGTCGAGCTGGCCGACGACGCCGACATCGAGGCCTACAAGCCCAACTATCCCGAGATGGCCAGTTTCCACGATCCGAACGGCGTATTATTGCGCATCATTGACTGCCCCCCGAATCTCTCGAAGTTTCCCCACCGGACAGAGACCGTTGATTTCGGGGTGGTGATACAGGGCCAGATAGAGCTCGTGCTGGATGACGGGGTGTCCCAAGTGCTCAACCAAGGCGACGTCTTTGTCCAGAGGGCTACGGTGCATGAGTGGCACAACCCAAGCGAGACGGAGCCGGCGAGGTTCTTGGCTGTATTGTTGCCAGCGAAGCCACCCATTGGGCCAGATGGAAAGCCAATCGGGCCATTGTTCGGTTCGTGGGAATAGAGCAATCAACATGTCTCTTTGCCAACACAAAAGTCGAGATTTTAAGCAGTAACACAATCAGAGTAGCTGAAAATGCAAACGCAAATGCTAGGGAAACAGCGAAGTTTTCGTGAGTGTGGAGATTCCGACGTAGCCACGTCCACCACAAGATGTTCCGTAAAGCAGAGTTTGTGAAGGGGAAAATAGTAAAACATACAGATGAGAAAGCTGAAGCTAGGCTTGAGTGAAGAGATAGAGTAACTTGCGCAGATGTGAGGGACGTGCTTAGCGAGAATTAGACACGAAGCCGTTCTACTATTGCCAGCAGCGCTTCTCCAATTTGGCCAGGGGCCAAGTCTAGATTCTCCTCTGCTGTGAAGGCGCGTTGCGGTCGATTCATGTTGTTAGGGCCAGCAGCTCTCCTAGCATGAGCGAATTGAGCAGCAGCCGTGGCACCGAACAGGGCGGCGTCTCTAATCGCCGCCATGTCTCGTCGACGTCGTTGAAACTCCATCTCTTCTTGCACGCGGTGAGGCGTACCAGCGAAGCGGGGTGGTGGCGGTGCAACCGGCGGTGCTGGGCCTCGAGCTCGGTGGTCGTTGTTACCGATGTTACCGATGTTATCATTGTCGTTGTCTACCGGGTCTTCGATTTCTGGCTCGGCTACATGAGCACGAATATCCGGGGGTGGCGGCGGCGGAGGAGGAGGAACATCGAATTGTCGGGCATTACGGCGAGCAAATAATGGTGGTGGTGCGCCTGGAACCCCGAAGCGATGCATGCCGCCTTGAGGGCCCTCGACAAACTCCAAAAACGGATCTCGTTCCGTACAGCCAGGTTTGTGCCGACAGAATAGGAAGCCGTGGGCATTGCGTTGAAAAGGAGCAAAACAGAGGTAGCACCATTCATGACGGCAGACACCTAAAGATGAGGGCAATATATCAGCTTCTACAATGCAATGGTAAGATGTTATTAAGGTTAAAGGGAGACTCACAAGTGATGTGGTTGCAGCCCGTATACTTGTGCACGTCCTTGTTGCACTTGGGGCATTTCTTTGAGGTTTCCTTGATCACCTTCTCGGACGCCTTCTCGTCTCTCGCTTTTTGTCTGTTGCGCCGATCATATTGCTCGCAAGTCTCACCGCTATGCCATGGCACGTTATGGGTGATGCAGTGGCGGTGCCGGCAGACATGGCATTTGAACTTCGGGCAAACGTCGTTATGAATTTGTCCGGACTCACAGCCTGTTGCAAGGCACCACCTGAAGTTTTGAATGTCTTTGACGGCTGCTCGTGTGGCGAGTTTATCATATCTGAGAATTATTAGTCACAGTTACAAAGCTATTCCATTCAGAGATAGACTGACCTGCTGAACACCTCCTTCGAGGCGTATTTCTTCACGTTGTCAAATTGGAGGTATTGGGGGCACTCAGGGCATTTGAGCCTATCCCATTCTGAAGTGTCCATGCTTGACTGTATCCACTGTTGCAGGCAGCCCTTGCATATCGTAACCTTATGCTCGCAACCCGCTGTGATCTGCTGTGGCATTTCGGTAACTTTCTTATCGTCACCGCATACTGTGCACATCTCGGTCACGGGTAAGAGCCACGTCTCGTCGGCTTCGAATTGTGAAGCGACGTCTTCTGGTATGGTGAACTTGATGGTACCTCCCCATGGAATCCTTGAGGTGCTCTTCTTTATTCTGTTCCCATATATCACATTGATCTCATTCGCTCTCAGTGATATCTTGCTGTTCCGAGTCGAATGAACGTTCCTCAATATGTTCGCAATGATATTTTTGATGTATGCTACCTCAGTATGGTGATCTCTTGGCTGCTCTGGATGGCAGATGTAGTCCCGGTTGAAGCCCCTGAAGACGAAGTATTTCTGCTCTGGGCAGACGTGAACGGCTATCTCTAGACATAGCCATTTCCGAAGTTGTCGTGCTTCCCAGGCATTTCCGTGTATGAGGCCATTCCTCATACCTCTCATGGCATTGAGGACTATCCGATTGGGGTCATCGATGCCAAGTCTCGTCGCAATCTTGGCTCGCAAATCGCCCACTGTCTTTCCGGCCTCGATATCCCTAGCAAGCTCGTCTTTGAGGTCATTTTTTAAGACCCAGCCTTGGAACTCATCCCACTGAGTGACCTTGATGGAAGTATCCTCCCTCGAGCCGGATGTTACTCGATACCAGACGTTCGAGGAGCCTTCGTCAAACTCGCTGAACGGATTCAATCGAACACCATCGCGGTAGAAGGTAACCGTGGATTGGTCTGGGATGGGATATTTGGTACGACCTCGCAGGATCTGGTCGAGCTTCGCAACGAAAACTCCGAGCTTAACGGAGCACGTGAAGGTCTCTCTGTGCGTATCGAGATCCTGACAGGTAACTAATGCCCTTCGAGGCTGCTCATTTCTCTCTTGACTCTCATATTTGTCGTGATGAGACCGGTGATGACGCCGAGACTCGTGCGGCTCATCGCTCCGAGACCGATGCGGACGCCGGGAGTGGGCCGTCACCCTGGGCGGCGATCGGACACCCTGGTCCCTGCTTGACGGCTTCCTCGCTTCTTTGTTTACCATCTTGTCAGTATTGCCCCTCCTGAAAAACTGTCATCACTCTTGTGTGACATTCTTGAGAAATACACGGCTGAAATAGCAAGCGCCCAAGGAGAAGAAAAGAGGGCGATTGGGCTGAGGGGGAGACTGGGCAAAGCGGAAAAAACCGAGACCTGCGGCAAGGCTGTGGGAAGTTGAGGCTCCGGGGAAAGATATGGTGAGCAACACTCAAAGTGAGTGAAAGTGCTCGGGGTTACCAGATAGCGGCGGGGTCTGGGGGGCTGAGGGGCAAATAGGCTGCATGAGCATGCAGCTTCACTGCGAGCGTGGCGTATCACTTGCAGATTATCGCGGCCAATGAATTGTGAGGCAAGACCTTTCACCCACTGGCAGCTGAGCGCCTGAAGGAGCCAGCACTTAAGGTGAGAACCCGATTGCTAGACTGCAGGATATAGCTACGCCCGATGTGTTAGGCTGCCAAACTGCATAAACGGCCCACGTAATCAAGGCACTGAAATCACTCGGCTTCGAGAAAGATCAGATGACCCCAATGTAGTGCAAGGAAGCCCAGAAGAGTAATGCCATGCAAGAAGCTTTGACGGGATCAGGTAGCAACACTTTTGTCACGAACATGTGTACAACACTTGTTGTTTGCCTGTCCAAACCATTGTGACCCGAGCACCTTTCACAGACAATTGGTTGACGTGGATGAATTTGATTATTAGTAATTAAACTCATTACCCATATCCCACAAGAACCGACTTGACCCTGACTCCTAACCTATAATGATACCATATGATCATTGTCGTAACGTCGTAAATATACATTAAGGAGGCCCAACTTGTCTTTGCCAAAAACAAGGAAACCCAAATCTCAAGGGTTGTTAATTTGCTAGTTTTTTCTGCACCAGGCCAGGCTATCGCTCTCAAGAAGTGGCGAGAGACAGAGAATAGTTGCTAAATATCCGCTGATGACTGAGAAGGTGTAGAGGTCTCGGCGTATGGGCCGACGACCAAATGCGAGTTGCTTCACTCGCTTCCGCAATCATCGATCCTCCGCCGAAGAAAGTATTCTGTGGCAATCTCATGAGACCGTTTGGCTAGGACTTCTTGCAGAAAGAGATGCAGTCCGCGGACGTCAAGGATAGAGTTGAAGCTTGTTGCGTTTTTCCACAGCGGAAGGCCATTTCTCAGTCGCCGGAAATCGTCCCAGCTTCGATAGAGGGTGCATGCTCGGTTATGCTTGTAGAACAGGACTACTTCGTAGACTAAAGTGCAATCCTCCTGGAAAGTGCCCCGAACTGTCGGTGAACGAACCCAAATCGAAATTGGAAGATGGCGGGCTCCGTTGTAAGTGTGGTGGCACTTCTTTGAATGCACTTGCGGCTTTCTGGGAATGGCAGGAACTTGTGCTGGCTTTAATTGCATGATTGAACAAAATTAATAGTAGAACATAATCTGAAAACGAGTTTGCCTGACTCGGGAAAGAAGTGTTGAAAGACGATATTCAACATGCCATAGACATGAGGACAGACAATGGAAATAAAGTGAGGAAAAGCTGTTGCCTCGATACACAGTAGGCCGAGACTTGACCATTGGCTTCGAGCCTTATCGAGTGGCTTGACGATTGAAATATAAATGATGCGGCTCAGCTGCTCGAAAACCGAGGAGAGCCAAACCCCTGGTCTTCGATCCCTTTTCGCATCAATAGCATCATCGCATGAATGAGCGAGGCGATCCGCCGCTCAAGTGATCCATGAGGCGCCTGAAGAACCGACTAAGCCTTCAGGATTTTGGGGAAAGAAGAGCAATTAAAATTATGACAGGCGAGCACCATAGGACCCTGAAGCAGGTGAAGCGGTAGGCTGTGCTCTTACCTGAAACGTCCACTGGGAATACGCTGAGACTTGCCGGATATTTGGCCAACGATATCATTGGAGGTGATCCAGCGCAGGAGTCAGATTACCTCCGCTATCCACGCATAAAACGAGGGCGAGGATGAGGTCCTGGAACCCAAAGCGATCATCGGACAATAAACGTCATTCCAACAGCCTGGTCAATAAGATCGTCAGCATGGCAGAGAAAGGGTTGAACTGTCGGGTTGCTTCTTGCCATCATTCGCGCAAAGAACCTCAAAAGAGCCGAACAGTAGGCATGTGGACTGAACGACCGTCAGAGCTCAAGGAAGCAAATATACATTTAGAACACATTACTTGAGGAAGTGCGGCTGAACTTTTGTCAACATGAGCATTCCTTGTTACTGTCGAAAGCATCGCAAAGGGCCTTTGCACAGAAAACACATTTACTACTTACTTTGATGTTTCTTGTTATCTGGGCAGAAGCCAGTGCACACTCTAAAATGTTAGGAGATTTATTGACACTAACAATCAGCCATGTGTCTATTCCTGGGAAGGGAAAGCCCGTTTCAAAGAACGCGCATCCCTGTACAACCTGAAACGCGCAACTAAACCCTTTTACGCGTTGCCCCAGAGCAAACATACCGCAATAGGATGGAGGGGTCTGAGAGGGGCCGAGGGGCACTTCCAAGGCACCCCCTTTTCTGGGAGTCAAACCATGCAGCCCATTTTGCCATGATAGGGTAGGAGTCCCCTGACTTGCATAAGGAAGATTCATAGTCTAATAAAATTGAAAATGAAGAATGTCGCTACCTACCCTGCATTATCTTCTAGACTTGGTGGATAATGATGGAGATGAGTGCTCGTGTTTTCCTAGAACCGTGGTTGAGCAACCGTTTGTCTAACGTTATGGATCGGTTGATTCTTTCAAACGAGCCGGCAACTGGCTTTGGCGGACTCATAGAGAGATGACGAGGATGAGAACAATAATCGATCTCTGGAGTCGGAAGAATGTGGATAAAAGCGAAAAGAGTTACACGTCTTCAGGCTTACATTTACCCCTTAATGCTCTCTCTCTCTCTCTCTCTCTGTTGCCTGTCCACCGTATCAGACTCCCTTCATAAGCAGAGAGACGGCAATGTCGGTCGGTGGGCAGACATCTGCCTTAGCCTTATACTACTTATTATGAAAGATGGTTGTCTCCTCGGCGGCATGTCGAGGCTTTCCGTTGTGAGTGGCCGCACTGTGCCCGTGAGCAAGGAACAAGGGGTAGGGAGGGAATGAAGTCCCCCGGAGTGGGTGCGCTTGCCCATTATACACCTAGTTACAGTAATGGTTTGCTTGAGACGTCAGGTAAACAATACACCCTCCAAACGGCAGGGACCAAGGAGCTAGACTATCAGTCTTACCCTGACCTGGAGAGACAGGAGTGTCCCTTCCATACGCAGTACCGGTAGCTCCCATCTCATCCCATCCTTTCCTTCCCTTCCCTGGCCACCAATAATACACACATATTATTCTTTCCCTTCGTTCTTTCCCTCCTCTACGATCAGATCCCTTCCCTTTCAGCTTTCCCATTTCTTGCACTTCTGCTTTCGCACTACGCGACGTCACCAGCCGTTTCGCATCAACAGAAAGCTATTGCGGTCCAGCTCTGCGACACAGCCTACGCTCGACGCGATCCAAGCTTCACTTTCGACAACCGCATCCACCGCTGACCGAACTATATCACGAGATGGCTCTTCAAGCTGCGTATAAGCAGTTCCTGGCTTCGCCGAACTCGTCCTTGTTGGCTGCGAACGCGTCGCTGCACTACGTCACGACCACAACAAGCTATGCTGGTCCTACGGAGATCATCAAGCACCTGAGCGCGCAGCGCAACCACCTCAAGAAGAAGAAGGAGGACATTTTGGATGTTGTTGAGGGCCAGAATGCTGTCGCCATCCAGACCGAGACCTCTATCGAGTTCATCTCGAGTGGCGGAGCTTACCTTCCCGGCTTGGACGACAACTTCCTCGCTGATCGAGTTGTTTACATTGCGGTCGTGAGTTAAGGCCTTCTCATGTTCAGTTTCTGGAAGCGTGCGCATGCTAATGCTGGACTCTTCCCAGACCCATATCGTATCTTTTGACAACGATGGCAAGATTGCGCAGATTCGTCAAAGCTGGGATCAGGGTGCTCTCTTAAAGCAACTAGATGTCATCGGAAAGACTGGCCGCAATTGGCCCATCCGTGACAGCCAGGAACAGATCAAACTGATCATCAGATCTTCTGGGAAGCCTGTGGAGGAAACGCCTTCAGACATCATCAACCGGTCTCGCGGAAACTCCACCAATGCTATGCGCGACCCTCATACCACCCTCAACCTCTTTGCGCCTCGCGACCAGGTTGAGCCGCCGACATCTGTGGTCTCACCGTACGCTGGCAGCCGCCCACACCAGCGCTCCTTCACCGATATTCTCGGCGATGAGCCTGAGGAAGTTGGCTCCCCAAGTGGTGGCCGTGAACGGTCGCAATCCCCTAGCAAGGCCATTGCCCCGAAGATTGGTGCATCGAAGAAGTTCCAGCCGCCTCGCCTGTTCGAAGAGAGCGAGGACAGAGCTCCGTCTGAGTCTAACACCCCTGACGCCAAGTCCCCGGATCGCTTCTACAGACCTCACCCGAAGAAGTACCAGCACTTCGACTTCGCCGATGGCTCTGAGCCAGCTGACGCACCAAAGGCTGGTGTTGCTTTCCACGAGATGCCTAAGGGAAAACATGGTTCCCACTGGGATTTCCAGGACTTCGTTATTCCTCAAAAGCCCCAAGCCAGCCGTGTTCGTCACCAAGAGATTCGTCATTGGAATACTGAGGAGGCAGAAGAACAAGAGGACACTGTGAAGAAGCCTGCTGTAGGCAAGCCACGCCGTGATGCGGAAACCCACTTTGAGCTTCAGGATGATGGTCTTCCTTCCGGCAAGCCGCGCCCGGCCGGTCGTCCACGAGGAGCTACGCATAACGAGGGCCTCGGCTTGTACAAGAACCACATGGTCAGTGATGACGGCTCTGAACCACCTGCTACTCCTGATCCGCGTACCTTGACCAATATCACCAATTTGAAAGACCGCTCTAAGATCTTTGATCCTCACTTCGATATGAATGACGAGTCACCGCATGCTTCTCCTCCGAAGCATCAGAGTCAGATCAGTGACGATCGGGCGAAGGCAGTCAAGATGATGGAGTCCAACTGGTCAGCCTATGACGTGTCGCCTGCCTCGCAGAAGGAGAACAGCAATCCAACCCGACATGGCGCGTCAAAGGACCAGAAGGAGAATGGTCCCAATCATCGTATCGTCATCGCTGGTGATGGCATGGGTAACAAGAAGGGTGGCCGTGGCTGGTCTATCGGTGATGACGGCGATGAGGAGAAGAATGGCATCGTCATTGCCGGTGATGGTATGGGCAACAAGAAGGGAGGTCGCGGGTGGTCAATTGGCGACGAGAGCGACGAGGAGCAGAATACTCCAGCAGTACCGGGCAAGAAGCAAGGCGTCCAAGCGACAGGCGGCAACTTCTGGGACTTTTAATCGAGTCGGCAGAACAGCTGGAAGGAATTGGACAGGAAATCGCGCAGGAATAACGCCCGATAATGTCTTTTGATGCTACCGATGATGATTATACGTCTACAACGCCCGCAACGATCACGAGGACCACCCCCGAATCACCCCTACAGATCACAGAGACACTGCATTTCCTTCTGTTTGCTTATTTCCTCCTGTTTCTTTTCCTTTGCACAATATCTGTATCTAACATCCAACTTGGGTGAGACCAAAGCAACAGTGATATTATGGGCCGATGGATACCCAGTTGTTAGGATGAACAGAAAACTGTTGGACTAGGGAGACTGAACTACTGAAGATTGTATGGATTTGTACACATACATTACTCGAGCTTTAGGATGAACGAACGTTTTCAATAGAATGTTCTCAGACGACCTCCGTGTCTTTGCCATTACGAACACCCCATATCACGGAAGGGCTGTGTGCTAGTCGACCTTGTTAACATCTTTCTTGCAATTATCATGGGCATCATAACGAGATAAGTCTATATATACACATCTGGTGCAAGAGTCAAGCCCAGAGAAACATGTGTCTATGATTGCGTCGAGGCCCATCATTCGAGCGCTCGCAGATATCAAAGACCATGGATAGTAGCCATAATCCACCACTCCATCGTCAACGATCCCAAAAAAGTCTACCAATACGTCCCAGTTCCCTCCAAGACTTCCCGTCTCTGCTTGACGCACCGTGAACGCCATGCTTCCCAAGCCCATACGCAAGGAACCCTTTGATGAAAGGAACCGCGGTTGCCTATTATGTCCCTCTTGTTCTTACACGACTTGATCGCTCATATGCCCCCCCCCCCTCACTCCCAAGCGGCAGGACTGCGATGTCCCGCCCCGATCAGCAGAAGAAGCGATAGAGCTTCTTCCACCGGGGCCAGGCGCGCTTCTCCTCCATCTCCTGGGCCATGAGGATGGGCAGGTTGAAGTCCCTGCGGCCGGTGTCGATGTCCATGTCGTCGACGCGGACGATGCTGGTGCGGTAGTAGAGCTTGTAGGCGAGCCAGAAGAGCAGGACGATGGGGACCGCCATGTACTGCAGGAAGAAGTTCTGCACGTTGGCGGCCGCGGACTGGTCCGCGTAGCCGAGCGGCCACGCGCCGACCCAGAACTGCGCGACCAGCACGATGCCGTTGAGCGTCAGCCCCACCCAGCTGCCGGCCACGCCCGCCTGCGCCCGGAAGGCCAGCTCGTGCAGGCTGCGGCCCTTGCGCCGCCACGCCTTGCGGAAGCGGATGTGCGCCAGGCAGATGCTGCCCCACGTGAAGATGGACGAGAGCCCCGAGATGGCCATCAGCCAGTCCATCACGTCCGACTGCTCCTCCGTGTCCGAGAGGTAGGCGAGGAAGCCGATCAGGGAGGCGAGCACTATCGCCACCAGCGGACGGCCCCGGCGGTCGATGTAGCCGAAGATCTTGGGTGCCTGGCCCTGGTCGGCCAGGGCGGCGAGCGTACGGCTCGAGCCGAAGACCGCGGAGTTGCCCACGCTCATCACCGCCACGAGAATGACGGCGTTCATGACGCCGGGGAGGACGTCGATGCCAGCATCCTGGATGGCAACAACAAAGGGGCTGGCCTTGGAATCCGAAGAGGAGGTCCCTAGCAGTCGAGTATCATCATAACGCACGAGGACTCCGACCAGCGTTAGCGCCACGACGTAGAAGAGACTGATACGCCAGAACACCTGCTTGATGGCGGTCGGCAGTGACTTGCGAGGGTTCTGGGTTTCAGCGGCCGCTAGACCGACAAGTTCTGTGCCGGCGAAGGCGAAAGCAGCCGTAACGAACACGCTGCATAACCCCTTGAATCCGTTGTGGAAAGCACCCGGGTCATGCCAGTAACTCCCGCCAATATAGCCGCCTCCAGGCTTGCCTCCAATGTTGATAACTACACCGAGCAGGCTAGCAAAAAGTTAGTATCGTCTGCACCAACAACAAGAATCTTGAGTTGTCTCACATAAATCCAATCACGGCTGTGACTTTGATGATGGCGAAGACGAACTCGGCTTCACCGTAGCCTTTGACGCCGAATAAGTTGATGGTGATGATGGTTGCAAGAAAGATGGTCACAAAGATTGCTTTGTCCAGCGAGTCGTTCCAGTATTCTATCGTTATCGCGGCAGCAATGATCTCCAGCGGCAGTACGACGAGCCATTGTAGAGCATAGCTAGATCGATGATTAGCGACATTAACGAATGTAACTCATTGTACCTCAAGACTTACTTCCAACCCATAGCAAACCCCCAAGCCGGGTCCAAGAATCGTGTTGAGTAGGCTGAGAAGGAACCGGCGACGGGGAAAACGACTGCAAGCTCACCGAGGGCTTGCACCGTACAGTACAACATGACACCGATGAAAAGATATGCGATTAGAACCGACGCAGGGCCGCCGGTATTGAGAGCCTTGCCGGACGCAACGAACAGACCCGTACCTGTATGCATATGTTAGAAAGATCAATGGCAATCATGGGAGCGTTGCACTCGAGTCGAGGTCAGGGCCAGAGCGATATAATGCAAAGGACCATCCATGCCAGTCAGAGTATCGACATACCTATAGAGCCACCGATAGCAATCATCTGCAAGTGCCTGCCCTTGAGCTCCCTCAGCAGGCCCGAGTTGGCGGTCCGGATGTTGGCGGCGCGGATGTCGTAGTAGTGGCCGCCGTGAGGGTCGCGCATGTGCATCGGGATGCCGTCGTCGCCGATGATGCCCTTAGGCGTGATCCGCTGGGTCGGGTCCCGTCGAAAGGTGTCAAGCCATCGCTGCACGGCGCCCGGGCGGCGGGGGATGTCGTAGACGGGCTCCCTCATGCTGTAGCTGCTGCCGTGGGCCAGCGAGTCCTCCTTCAAGTTCAGAATGTTCAGCTCGATGTCCCGGTCCGCCATCTTATCTCAGAAAACGGGCCCGCCAAAAAACCAAACCAGACGCAAGACAAACGGCCCCCCCACCGAGGAATGGCGGGTCCTCGACACTTGGGCTAGTTGTCTTAGGGCCGCTCTATGGCTCGAGTCGAACGAGACCCAGATGCGATTCAGTGCCTCCAATAGTTGGGTAACGAGGGCTTCTGCTCCTATAACTGTAATTGTTTCCTTCCAATCGCCCTACTCGAACAGCGTTGTGAGTCGCGGCGCCTCGTGCGGATGCCAACGGTGCGATCAGCAAAGTACAATGTCGGCCTTCCGCCCGGACGAGTCCGATGGTAGTCACGGCAGGCCAACGTAAGGAATCCGAGTTTCACCGTTCGTGTACAGGCACTCTCGTCGCTCGTGTCATTATAAAAGCAGGCGGCGTTGTATGTATGAGCGAATTGGCGGTCGTCTAGAACCTCGGCTGTAGATAGTCCGTCCGTGCAGTCGTGACAAGTCAATGTCCACCTCGCAATGTCCAGATCGTAGTCGTCGTAAAGGCGGAAGCGAGGATCAGGAGAAGCAAACGTCGGAAGTATTGATGATGGTTAGGAGGAGGAGGAGGAGGAGGATCGGTGAGACGGACGAACGAACAGATAGACGTACGTCCTTCGCAAGATAATAGGTGCTTGCTTGCTGGTGCTGCCACCTCATGGGGACTGGCGGCACAGGCAAAGGGGCTGGAGGCTTATCATTGCACTTGGGACTTGTAGCGTGGTGTGGTGTGGTGTGGTGGCCCTTGGCCCTGGGTCTTGGTCCAGTTGGTCCTCTCCGGGCTAATAATGGTGGTGGGTGGTGGGCGGTGGCATGGGGCTGGACTTCGCTGGGCGGCCGGCGACTTCCTGCAGTGGGCACCGGCGCAGGATTTTCGACAAGGGACACACGCTCGCTTCACCATCTCCAGCCTAGTGGCTCTTCACTCTCGCTGCTCGCTTCTGTGTAGTTATTATCTCCTGCTGCTGTAGGCTTTCTTGGTCACTATTTCAATCGGTACAGCCAAAATGTTGGCTCTCGCCAGCAGGCATCGCAAGGCTCTGGGACACAAACACCACGGGTCGACATCATCGTCCACAGAGACCCGAATGGTATATATATTGCACCGGGGAGTTACGTTGCTGCAATGCAGAGCGCGGACTTCACAGTGACTAAGATAGCGGAGACAGAGGGGGGACGATTCCTGGTTCGCGGATTGGGTGCCATGCGCTCGCGTGCCGTTACTTAGCCCAGCATGTACTGTATAGTATAGTACCGTATCTCTCGAGACAAGAGGGTCCGCAGCATGTCTCTGATCGATCCCCTTGATCACCCCCTCCCAGCACAAAGTACTATACAGAAGTACACCTGGCTGAGACCTGGCTGCTGGGTGATCGGTGCCAGATAATCTACCTAGCCCTACAATAGGTGTTTCGTCATACGATTGCGACGATGCGCCGGCGATTCATGGCGTCTCAATACTATCTACTGCAGGGTGATGATGCGGGACATGTCTTTCGATTTGGCGCGCTTCCGAGACCTGACTTACTTATGTATCACATCGACTTCGCAAAGAGGCATGCATAAGGTAGACGCTGCATTACTGTATTGTCTCCGACCGCTTGTCGCTTGGCTGGCTCACCTGGTCCTCAAGAGATCGGACTGGGTACCACGGTATCCATGGATAGGTAGTGTAGTCTACAATAGTCTACAGGGTAGCCCAGCCCGACAGATGCAGACAGCAAAGCGCATCGATAGTGATCCTCGTAAGACAGGCCTGCGCCCACAAATAGCCTTGATCTAGAAATACCGGTACGTCTCAATCTTGCGCAGCGTTGCTCATCTTTACCCTGGGGTCTCTATCACCTTCCTAGATGGAGCACAGCAGCTCAGGAGGTCAATTCAGATTCAAAACAAATGACAGACACGGCCTGCTCGTCAGACAGTTGGCGGCGACGGCGTGGGGAGGAAAAGGCAGACACGCCAATCCACCTTCCAAATCAATGATAGATCTATTGTTGGCCCCAGCCAGCCAGCCAGCCTGCCTCACGCAATACGCAGTAATAGCACAGACAGACAGATGCCTACTGTACCTACTGCATAGTACTCTGGGTACCTCACGATCCCGTCTCGGGACCGACCAGGCGTGTGGGAGTCCTCTCCACTGCAACTCCCACTCTCATCAGGGCCGGGCTGGCCTGTGAGTTGCGTCCTGCAAGCAACGCAACTGATCCCTGGCGAGAGCGAGCGTCGTACCCGGCCAGAATCAGAATCCAATCAGAAGGACCCCTAGACGACGACCTTATCTTCCCACAGAGTGTCAGGGTGCCCGCATGGTGGCGCTTCGTAGTGCCCTGTACCTAATCCATAGTAGGCCGTCGCTATCAGATTCAACGCCAGCCTTCCGCGGCTTTTCTCACGTTTCTGTTCGAAACCCCTAGGCTAGGCTAGGTAGCATCGTTAGTCCCTGGCTGTCCACGTTTTCTCAATAGTCGCGCTTTGACACTTCTGAGGAAGCGTGGGTCACTAATCAAGCGGCTAATAAATTCAAATTGAACGCAGACGACTATGATGGTTTGAATCGTTGATCTCATGAAACAGCAGCGTTTGCCAACTCACCTTGTGCAAGCTGTCCGGCGACGGCTGAGACCCAACGCGAACCAAGAGCGGCCGAGGACGCTGTCAAGTATCCCAGCTATCTGATGGCCTCGGTCACTATTTAGGACACGTCTGGTGGCCCCAAGCGAGCTCAGTGACATGTGCTCCTCGTCTGTGTGCCGCGCTAGCTGCCCTTTGCATGTCACAATGCTCGGAACACGGCACACTCCTGACAACCACCTAGGTAGGCAACGCAACATGGACACCAAAGTATAAACGCCGCTGTATAAATGCCCCCCTGAAACTATATATGTACAACAATGCAGATTACAACACCACTAGATCGTTTCCTTTTTGCGATGACGCCCCATCCACAGATGCCTTTTTGATCTTTTGCATGAAATGCTCCCTGTTCCAAGAATACCAGATTGCAAAGTGGACAGCACAACGCATGTATGATGATGGTATTTTCTACTGGCCCAGCTCTACGATGTTGCCATTCAGATCCCTCTGCTTCCGCTTCCAGCCCGTCGAGAACAGCTGGCCCATGTCGAACCGCGGGAAGGGGTGCGCCTCGGTGTTGATGACCACCTTGTCCAGCGGGAGGAGGTCGTTGGGCGAGAAGAGCAGGTAGAAGTACTTCAGGGTTTCCGCCTATGGAGAGAAAGTGTCAGCAATATTGAACGAGGGTTATATGAAAGATCGGCAGAACACAGGGACACCTACCAGCCAAAAGCTTTCCATGTTGTCCTTTGTCACCGGTGGAATCACATTGGCATTCGACAGACTCGTGAAGCCGCCTCCCTCCTCGACCGCCGTGTAGTTCATGAACGACTTGAACATCTCCCAGCCCCATTCGCGATACTTGACATCCCCCGTTATCCGCCACATGTAGAACAAGCTCTCCACCGTCTCTGGGCGTTGGAGGTTGTGCGAGTCAAACGCCTTGACGCTGAAGTCCTTGCGCCATTGTGCGTCCGGACTTGGGTCAAAGTCTGCTGGCGCCTCGTGTGGCGCCGACTCCTTCAGCGGGGGGTCGCTGATGTGGAAATATGTGATCTCTGCAGCAAGTCCAGTTGCCATGTACTTGTACATGCCCCAGCAGGTCTGCATCAGCTCCCGGGCAAGCTTCATGTCCTTGTCCTTCTTCTTGCTCCAGGTGGGGAGCTTTCTCGCTTCTTGTTCAGTAAGGCCCTCGGTTGCCGCAAGGGCAATCGTTCCAGGCATGAAGCATACAAGATGGTCCATCTTAGGCGACAGCGCCTTTTCTAAGCCGTCCGGACGTTCGCCAATAATTGTAAAATGCGAAGGCTCAGTGTAAGTGACAAGGTGCTTGCGTACACCCGCCAGTGCCTCGTCCCACATCTCCAGATAGACCGATTCCTGCTTGTTTGTCTGCAGATATTGCTTGATCAGGTATTCGTAGTAAGAGTCTCCACGGCTGCCCAGGCGGATGTTCTCGCCCCTGAAATGGCCGTTTGTAGCGTAGATATAAATAGGAACCAGACCATCTTTTACACCATTGCCGTCGACCACCTCCATGACCTTCTCAGCCTTATCCCAGAACATCTTTTCGCCGGTCAATTTGGCAAGGTACTTGAACTCGAGTTGCAGAGTTGTGGTCTCTGCGGTGGATGAGGCACCGCCGTCAGCATGTGACGGCAGGCCTTCAAACTTCCCAAGGTTGACACTGGCATATGGAACCCCTGAGGGCGTATCGAAAGCTGTTATCAATCTATCCGCAAGGTCTTTAGCCTTCTCAAGGTATAGATCCTCGCCAGGTGCGCCCGGGTCATCATCCTTAATAGGTGCGAGATGGGGATACTCGTTGGATAGGTAGTGCGCACTAAGCAGGCCGCCCATCATACGGATAGTTGTCTCGAATGTGTTGACATCTTGATCTTGATCATAGGTCAAGTCCTTAGCCAGCCACTCCCTCGCATGTGTTAGTCGAGATGTGAGGTTCATGAGCATCATTGTATCCAGGGCATCGATAATGATCCATCCCAGACCCTTGGATGCCATCTGGTCTCCCTTCTTCGAGATGGGATGGAATTCGTCGTAGCCCCAGGCATATCGTTCGTAAGCATCCCAGCTCAACTCGAACGCCTCGACCACACGTTCCCTCCGCTTCGACCAGTCTGCCTTGCTCCTTCCCTTGCCTTCTGACTTCAGCCAACCTAGGCCCTTTAGATGTGTAGAGATTGCCTCTTGATCTCTGCCGAAGAAGCCGGACCAGTACAGCAGACTCATCAGCACCGCAAAGAAGATGAGCAGCACTCTCTTCCTCCTGTAGACGGGCCTCGCCCGCTGACTCGCCGGGTACCCGTACGGCTTGTCCTTGTACATCGGTAGCGAGTTGCGGTTGGGGTTGAGGAAGCCCCCGACTCTGTCGAGGCCCTCCCCAAGGATGCCCCCGTTCGAGGACTGGCCGTGCCCGCCGCCCCGGCGGTTGACGTTGGACGACGCCCAGAGTTGGTCTTCGGCTAGTCGCTGCGGATTCGTGAACGAAGGCACATTTTTGGGCACAGAGAAGGCCATTTCCTCGACAGCCTGGGACGCCTGCTCGACCACCTGCTTGCTCTTCTCGGCGACCTGAGTCGCAACCTGCGTGGCCACCTGCGCGGCGGTGGTCCGGGTCGCTCGGAGGATGGCCAGCGCTGGGCCGGGGGTTCGGTGGAGGTTGAAAGGGTCGCGAACGTTCATGGCCCGCGAGGGACCATGCTGTTTGGTAGTGGCAGCTCGGGAGTGCGAGGACGAGGAGGACAAAGGGCGCTGTGGCGGATGCGGACTCGATGGGTTAAAAGCACAAGCAGAAGAGTTGCAACGTATGCCTTCTCGGATTCTATTCTTCCGGGAGAAATGCAAGTGAGCAAAGCGGGTTGCTGTCAGGTAATTAGTCTCGTGCACTCTCCCAGGTCACTTCGAAGTCCACAGAGCACTGCTACAGTAAGGTGGTAGCCGGTACACACGCGCGGCGCGGCTTGGCGATTGGAAAGGACAAGTTTAAGGTTGCTTGCCTGCCGCGACCCGCCCACCCTACATCGTAATCAGTATGTTATAGCAGTAGCGACCTAAAAATACATTGAATATGGAAATGCAAGCCCACTCATACCCAAAACTCGACATCAAGCAACGACAACGGCTTCTTACAGTAGGAATAATTCTGCAGAGCGGACTGGCATGTCATTTATTTCCCAGACAGGAAATACAACATTCTTTCTCACAGCCGAAGGAATATGAACGGTTCGATAGCTGAAGATAACCCGTGAGCCGGCAAATCTCGAAGAGACAAGATGGATCATGTGAAGAGCCACGGCTCCGATTTCCAGCAATACCCGCATCTTAATAATGAAGAGTTCACCGAAGTCTGTCACAATCTCGACAGACGATACCGTCAGGCTACGTTAGGTCCGCTTAGAAGAAAATGGAGGCTCAATGTGTGCACGGCACTTGATACTTTGTTTTCTTTTGGTGCCGAATACAATACATACGTACAAATTGTTCGACCTCTAGAAGGCGAGCTTGATCATGGAGACTTATCAACATTTCTTGACAACTTCTCCTTTGGTGCAAATGACCGATTAAGCGACATGCCCATAACATCAGAGGATCAGGACATGATGGAGGCCGAGGAGTCAGACCAGGTTCGGATCTTCAAGGAGCAAGGGCAGTCTAAACATTCTAACACCTGACTAGTCTGTTCTCCGCAAGGAGCAGAAGCAACCGGACTTTGGCTACGTAATATATGAGATTCACCTTCACCCAACGTATCAAGCCCCGTGTCTCTGGTTCAGCCTACACGGCTTGCCAGTAGACGAGCCAGCTTTCAACATCGATACAGTTTTCCGCCGCCTTGTGCCGGACCAGTACAAGGATGGACTACGGAGGGTCGGATCAGTTGGCGGGATATCAGCGGATGTGAGTTGCTTCATGCTGTCAAACGCGTTAATTAAAGGCTCTCAATGTCTAGCCAAGAGGCTTCAGCCCGGTCTATACTAACACGCTGAAAACAGCATCACCCTATCACAGGTGTCCCAACCTTTTACGTCCATCCCTGCCTCCTTGGAGACAGCATGTCGAATTTTGACTGCACCAAGGAGAATTACCTGATGGTCTGGCTAGGTCTCGTCGGAGGATCCGTCGGACTCTGGGTGCCGAAGGAAATGGCGCTTGAAAGTCCTTGACGCGTTGAAATGCGCGTCGCATCCGGGAATTGCAATATATGCAGACATTCTGCATAGCCCCATCACTCGTCGTCGCTATCCTCCTCCATTGCCACGTCACTGTCCTCTTCCTCGTCTTCATCCTCATCCTCACGGGCTCTCTTTTGTCCGCGGCTCTCCGGAGTGCCAGCATCCTCCATGACGCGGTCTACGCCCTGTGGTTTCGCCGGGAGACTTGATTGCGCCGCCGCTGATCCAGGAACAGGGGCATTGAAGATGCTTTGCTGCAGCTCTGTGACCTCGACGTTCGCCGCACTGGCGGTATTGGGCAGCTTGAAGGTGCCATCTAGCTTCGCGACGACGTTGGACTTTGACTTTGCATATTGCACTTTCTAAACCGTCATCAGCTACGGCGGCACACAATTAATCAGAGTCACTCACCATCTCCTGGCCCAGGAATGAGGAGCCGTCTAGGGAGCGCATTGCCTGGGTTGCTGTTTGGATATCCCTGTAAACTATATGCGCCTGCCCACGCATCTTGTCTGTCTTGAGAGCGACGACATCGAGGACGGGTCCGTATGTGGAGAAAAGCATATATAGGGCTGTCCGCAGATCATCCTTCTGTATCTTAGATGACGGTATACCGCGTACATAGAGTCTACAGCTTGCACATTAGTAATTGTCGCAATGAATTCAAGCTACATGCGCACTTACGTCTGATTAGGTGGAACAGAGAGAACCTTCGCAGGGATCCCAGAGCCTGGCGGAGGGCCTTTCGGCGGTACCGGAAGGTTCGAGGGCGCCATCAGTAATAGTTGTAGCTCTCAATGCGAGTTTCAGATAGTCTGGTGTGCCGTCGTCGTCGAACCCGGTCGTAGAGGTTGGGGGGTCGTCGTGGTTGAGCGCGTAAATGATCTGTATGCCACTGTTTTTTTTACCAGCTTCTTTCGCAGGTGTATCTACCCCACAAAATCGAAAGACTCGGTAAGTGCATAGCTCGATACTTTGCGTACCTGCTTAGCGGCTCAGGTAGGTAGCTGCGCCCCACCATCCAGCAACCCATTACGCAGTCAGCCACCAGGTCCAACCCCTCCACGACTTTGCTGCATCGTCAACGCAAACGGGCAATCCAAAGACATCGTGATAGTAGAGAGCTCCTCCTATCACGAGCACATAGATCCGCCCACCATGGCTGCGCCAGAAGTCCACCATCTCTTCCACAATCCCATCGCGGACCACTCCTTCTTCCCGGATCGCAAGACGCTCGCGATCGCAAGGGACTCAACCGTCGAGCTCTATGGCAAGGTTGGCAATGCATTCAAACTCAAGGACGAGCTCAAGGGCCATGACAAGACCGTCACAAGTGTCGATGTATGCCCAGTTTCCGGCCGAATTGTATCGTGCTCTCAAGGTATGTGCCACAATGTCCATGGTCCGAAAGTCTGAGGGTGCTGATATAGTTTATCTGGGTAGACCGTAACGCTCTGGTCTGGGAACCTTCACCACAAGGCTACAAGCCAACTCTAGTACTTCTCCGAATCAGCCGAGCTGCAACATTTGTGCGCTGGTCGCCCTCCGAAACCAAGTTCGCTGTCGGCTCCGGTGATCGCGTGATTGCCGTCTGCTACTTCGAAGAGGAGAATGACTGGTGGGTCTCGAAGCATTTGAAGAAGCCCATCCGGAGTACGATTACGTCTGTTGCATGGCACCCTAACTCGGTGCTTCTTGCAGCTGGTTCGACCGATGCGCATGCCCGGGTTTTCTCCAGCTTCATCAAGGGTGTCGACCAGCGACCTGAGCCCGGCGTTTGGGGCGAGAGGTTGCCCTTCAACACCGTCTGTGGCGAGTACCTCAATAACTCTGCTGGATGGGTACACTCTGTAGCTTTCTCTCCTAGCGGAGATGCCCTCGCATTTGCTGCGCACGACAGCAGCATTACTGTGGTGTATCCGAGTGCCCCAGAACAACCACCAAGAGCCATTGTCAGCATCACGACTCAGCTGCTGCCTTTCATGAGCATATTCTGGAGCAATGAGACTGAAATCATTGCCGCTGGCTATGATTGTGAAGCTTTCCGCTTCAAAGGCGATGAAGGCGGCTGGCAGCTTGCAGGCACTCTAGAATCGAAGGGAAGGCCCGGCCTAGGCGATGCCAGAGAGGAGTCGGCTTTGAATATGTTTAGGCAAATGGATCTAAAGGGTAAGGTAAAGGATGATACGAAACTTCAGACAGTCCACCAAAACACCATTTCAACCATTCGGCCTTATGAGACATCTGGCTCTCAAGTCACAAAGTTCAGCTGTAAGTCCTATCAATCATCTGCAAAGAGAGATACAAAGTGCTAATGTCACGTTAAGCAACCGGCGTTGATGGCAGAGTTGTCATCTGGCATACTTAGATTAGTCACAGTGAATATCTCAATGAAATGCTTGGTCTCTGACCAACAACCTTGTCCTCGTTCTTTGACTTTGATGCGCCCCCGGTCTCAAATCGTCTCACAAGTGCCTTGTGGAATCTGAGACTTGTCACTGATGATTTTCTTCTCCCCGCTGTATCCTAGCGAACCTGTTTGGGTTCATTGTTGAACATAGGTATAATACAGTTGGAATTTTCTCCTTCTAGGCAACGCGCAAATCAGCTCCATGGAACCCACCAATATGGTCGTCGCTACGCATCCGTTGATGGAGCGATCACAATCCCCAAGCGCCCGCTTCTATGCGTCGCGAAGCGCAACACCATCGCCCCCTGAGGCTCCCAGGCTGACAAGTCCGCAAGGCGAGACTATTGGACCCTTCGGGCACTGGGCGGTTTCCTATCCAAACCACTCGACGCTATCAGGCACTTCACATTGCGACCTGCCACACGATGAGGCCCAAGTCTCTCCACGAACCATCCCTGCGCAGCATAGCGGCCCCTCTTATCTGAACATTCTCCCGGAAGATCGGATTCGCGAGCTACACGACGATAGCGAGGGGCAGGACGAGCCCGTGGTCAGTCATCTTCCTTTTCGCTGGCACGGACACAGCATAGCAGCAACTCCTGGTCTGCACAGAGCGTCCCCATCGGCTGCCTGGCCTGCGCAGCGGGAGACTTACATCTCCCCGCCCCAGTTCATCATGCCAGCTACTGAATCACAAGCCCCGACAAACATGGATACTCCAGAATTTGCACATATACCCACCGGCGCATCTTCTCTCCCAGACGATGCTCCTACGCAAGCATGGGACCCTTACGGCTCGGATCTTGAAGACGGCGAGATTCAGGAAGACGAGCCATCCGGAAACGGTGACTCCATGGACCAAGACAACACCTCGCTCAAGTCTGGTGAAGCATCTCCTTCCCCACCACCCTCTGATTCAACTCCCAGCAGCAGCTCGTCTTCCTCCGGCGACTCTGCGTCCCGTGGCGCCATTCTTCTCCGCGCGGTCCACGACGCCTGTCTCATGGCCACACAGCGCTACCTGAGATCTCACCACAGCAACTGGCGCCTCCGCAAAGGATCCCCGTATCCTCCACGATCTGCTGCTGGAAATGGATCGAGCCCTGCTGGCTGCAGCCCCCATTCTACGCAGTCTTCCCCTCATGGCTCCTCAGCCGGCTCCGACGCCGTCGAGTCCCACGGCCATAGGAACAGCCCCCTCGGCAGCCCGCCACGGAGCGACCCCAATAACAACATCGACACTTTCGTCCCCACCGGCACCGACTCCGTGCTAGCCAACACGGCAGCGATCTGCACACTCATGTGGCGCCGCGCCCAGGCCACACGCCTGCTGTCGCTGGGCGCCGAGAGCGCGGCCATCGCGGACATGCGCAAGCTGACGGTGTGGGCCGAGGTCGTCGTCCTGACGAGCCGCCGCGCCCGCGTGGCGCCGGACCCGGCGCTGGCGGTGGCGTACATCATCGCGGCCGGGCGGGCGCTGTGCCGCTTCCTCGAGGACGAGGACGCGCTGGCCATGATCGACGATGCGCTGCCGATCCAGTGGATCGAGGTTGATCTGGACTTGGACTACCTGGGGAGTTTGGTCCATTAGACGGGTTGGGCGGCAGCTCTCGTTGAGTTACGGCGTTTACGGTACCCCTGAGATACCCCTGAAATTCTGTGGCATCCGATAGACTTCTTCTGGCGCGGGACAACATTCTTGGATTCTGGCTTTTTGGTTTTCTCGGCGCAATGTATTCGGAATCTCAGATGGTCAGCATTGAATCGATGGCACAAGAGCGCACAGGGTGTTGCTCAACGAAGAGCCATCAGTGGATCACAAGAAATATTGTCAAACTGGGATGCGACTTAGATTTAGAGGCTCATAGTGAAAATTGCATTATGAGAAAATTTGCTTTTCATTACCTGTCCCAAAAATATTTTCCATTTTGAGGAGCGCCGCAACCGGCTCCGAATGTAAGGCGCAATGGCGATGCACATCTATATGCGTAGAGAACCCAGACACCAATCTATGACGAAATCTTATCCCTTGTAGGCAGTTTAGCTGCCTCGTGAGTTGTGAATATTCAGCACCAGGATATCCGTAGCGCCGACCTTGACCAGGTCGTCCATGACAGGCGCAATCTTCTTCTTCTCCACCATGACACTGATAGCCAGCCATCCGTCCTCCTGCAGCTGTGTGATAGTCGGAGCACGCTTGCCAGGGGTAATCTTTGTCGCCTCGGGAAGTCGTGATCGCTCGACGTTGTATTGGCAGAGGACGTATCTCTGGGCGGTGATGACACCCTGAATTCGTGAGGCGATCAGGTCCACCATGTCGGGATTTGACGGTGAGCTTGACTTGATGAGAATGGCTGAAGAGTCTACCACTGTGTCAATCGCCTTGAGACCGGCGGCTCTCATGGTCTCTCCAGATTCTGTTATGTATCAGCATGGCTTGCTTATTAAAGCAGTTGAAGCCCGAGGGAGACATACCAACTAGATCGACAATACCGTCGGCAACGCCAAGCGCACAAGCAGCCTCAACACTGCCAGTAAGCTCAACGATGTTGGTCCGTAGCTTCTTCGACTGGACTGGCGCCTCTGCGCCGTTCGCCGCGTCCTGCTCTAGCTCCAGACGGGCAAAGTACTCAGAGGCGAGGTGGACGAAGCTTGTGCCAATATTCTTCCCCACCAGATCCTTGGGATCAACATACTGCCCCTTCACCGGCACCTGAACCTGGAGCTTGCAAGCACCGAAGCCGAGGTCCATAACCGTCACGCAGCTTGTCGTGGCATTGCTGTCCTGTGGCGTGGATTCGCCAGATATCCTCCGGGCCCGTGCAATGATGCGTGTGCCAGCATCGTGCTCCTGCACTTGGTCCAGACCGGTAATGCCCAAGTCGACACGGCCTTCGCCCACAAACGTAGGGATGTCGGCAGCGGGGAGGAAGACCAGCGCGATAGGGAGGTTCTTGACGAGGGCAATGTCGAGGCGGTTCTCTCTCCTGAACTGGATGTCTGCGCCTTCAAGCAGGTTAAGGGCAGCTTGCTGCAGTCGGCCCTCTAGGAGACGGTTAGACTAAGGCGCAATGGATGTAACAGGCAGAGGGTAGGACGCACTCTTGGGCACGGCGAACAGCAGTCGCCCCTCTAGGCTTTTATCAGATGTTAGCGCCTTTCTTCCATCCATGGCATTCGACATTGCGCAGTGACATATGCAATGGAGGGTACATGATGCGCACTTTAAGCAAAACTGCTTGGGGATGGGAGACGAACTGATTTACTAGATCCATAGTGCGCGCAGTTGCGCAGCTCTTGAAGTAGAGAAGCGGCGTAGACGATCAACACGGACGGCTGACGGCCGAACAGTGGAGGTACTGCGTGACGTTGGGCTGGCTTCACAATATGATTGAAGAAGGGGGTATTTGCGACTTGTCGACGTACGTTGAGGACGAGGAAGAAGAGAAAAGGCACAATGACTCAAGCTCGCGGGGCAGTATAGAGGGGCAGAACCAGCGCAAGAGTGGGGCACCAAATCTCTGGACAGCAATACCAAAACAGCCGGATGCACCAGCGACGGGAGGGAAATATCTAATCTGATTACGAGATGCCTCTACCCGTGAGTTCTGAGTCAATTGACTGGCTTGAGACTTGTCAATTGCAGCTTTTGGTGCCTCGGTGTGGGTATAACGCCAACCTGCGGTGTCGTTCTTGTGAAGATTTCTGGAGCCACGTTCCTGTATCGGAGTCGTCACTGGCGGCAGACGGGAGTGACCAGCGCCATTGAAGGGCGGGGCACACACTTCACTTCACCCACGCAGCCGCAGCCTTAACGTTTACCAGAGGCCTGGCAAGCTTTGGGGATAGCGCATTCTGAAGAGCCGTTCCTGGCTTCTAGGCCCAGCGGTAATCAACGTGTATGCAGGTGCGGGCACGGGAGGCTCCATCGCCGTTGATGAATTGCATCATAATCGATATATTGTTTCTTTATACTTTCCTACTCCTTAAACCGCAGAGACTCACCTCTTGTCTATTGTCAAGTTGTGTAACAACAGTTGGATCTTCCTTAGATACTCCAAGCTCGAGCTTACGGGATACCTGGTTGCACTACCTTGAGGACAAGTTTAGATTGACTGAGAGAGAGAGAGAGAGATCTCCAGATAAGAGAAGATCTGTCACGGTTGAATCGATAGAATGAGACAGACTTCCCTACCTGCCGTAATGTAGACTTCTCAGTCTACTTTGAAGTAAATGCTTCTTCAATAGTACACGCTACCTTCTTCGCTATCCCGTGTCAGCGATAGTCTCTTGCTCTTCGGCACAGCCTCTTATTTGTCCACCAAGATTCGGGTATAGACGAGAGCATTGCGTGTTTTACAATCGCTCGGCGAGTTCGCCGCATTACATTAGAGGCCGGATTGAACCTGCAGGCCCGCACGTCAGCAGTACGAAACCCAGCCCCATATCGGGATCTACAACCGTTTCCACATACGGCCGCGCGCTAGCTCAAGTACCCCGAGATATGACATCCTCCCTGTAGCGCTGTCGTCACCAGCACCCCTTATCGGGACACATCACGCTCCTTCCCGTGGAACATCGCATTCTCAGCTGTCTTGTCTCATATTATATTGCCAATTCGCGAATCTCTACTAAGCCGTATCACCACCATTCATTCATTCCCTCCCGCCGCCGCCCCGAACGAGCTCCCCATCATCAAATCTCCCAATTCCCTACCAGCGCAATCGAATTACGTGCGCTGCTAGCACTACTTGACTTGTCCTTCTTGAATATGGGCCGCGTCTGACACGGCATGCCGGTAAGCAGCATAGTCGCGTTGCCCTCACTACTCCCTCTATCTGTACCTCTACCGGTGCCTTTCGACTGGCCCGCCGCCTCCCAGGCGACATGATGCCCGAGACGTCGAGAGAGAAAGACCCGACACCGACAGCAGAAGTTGACGACAAGGACATCACAGAGCTCTCGAAAGAACCTGCCGCGACAACGCCCAGCAGCGCGCACGCCTCGGTAGAACACTTGGAAAACGGCCACGCCGATAATCACGAGGAACAGGAGGTAAAGCGGCATTCCGAAGACTCGTCCATTGGGGCGTGGGAAGACGCAGAGGAAGGCTCCGACTGGGAAGAAGACGCACTCGTCCTCGAGGACGATCCCGCCGAAATGTCAAGCTGGTCGGGGCAGCCCGACATCAAGGGCAGCTCCGAGATAGCACGGATGGTGCTCCTGAATGCCGTCAGTGTCGGCATGACGTTTACATGGGGAGTGGAGATGACATGTAAGTCCCAGCATGCATTCAGTCAAGGGTCGCTTTGTTTGCTGACCAGTTGTAATCAACAGACTGCACACCCTATCTCTTATCGCTCGGTCTCACGAAAGGACAGACGTCCATGGTCTGGATCGCTGGGCCATTGTCAGGCCTTGTAGTACAACCAATAATAGGCGTGATCTCAGATGAATACAAATCGAAATGGGGGAGGCGGCGGCCTTTCATCGTCGTAGGATCTCTTCTCGTGGCCGGCGGTCTCCTCACATTGGGCTTCACAAAGGAGATTGTTGGACTGTTCATATCGGACGAGGGTGCTAGGAAGATTTTGACCATAGTCGTTGCTGTTTTTGCTCTCTATGCAACAGACTTTGCTATCAATGCAGGTACGTACAAACGCTGGCTATCACCGTTCCCTGCTGACAATGAAACCCCTCAGTCATGTCTTGTTCAAGAAGCTTGATAGTAGATACCCTTCCGATTGCAAAACAACAAGCTGGAGCGGCGTGGGCCAGCAGAATGGCTTCGGTTGGACATATCATTGGTTATGGCGCAGGAGCGATTGATCTTGTCAGCTTGGTCGGCACAACTTTCGGCGACACGCAGTTCAAGATCCTAACACAGGTCGCTGCTTTCGGGATTCTGTTCGGAGCCGCCATCACTTGCTGGGCGGTAAGCGAGCGTGTCCTAATCTCTGTACGACATGACCCCCGCCGCGCCGATGGGCGATTCAAAGTCTTCCGACAAATTTGGTCAACGCTATTGACCTTGCCGCCCAGGATACAAGCGATTTGCTGGGCGGTATTCTGGTCTTGGATCGGGTGGTTCCCGTTCCTCATTTACAGCAGTACATGGGTTGGCGAAACATACTTCCGGTATGATGTTCCTGAGGATGCTAAGGACTCCAAGGACGCTCTGGGAGATATGGGTCGAATAGGCTCGTCTGCACTGACTGTCTATTCCATCGTCACATTTCTGGGAGCATGGATTCTGCCCTTATTCGTCAAGGCTCCAGATGATGACAGCTTCACTCACCGACCTCCCCAGAGCATCGCTCGCTGGGTGGAGACATTCAACAAGTTCAAGCCGGATCTACTTACAGTGTGGATGTGTGCTCATCTCATATTTGCTGGAACCATGATATTTGCCCCGTTCGCGGCGAGCTTCCGCTTTGCAACTTTTCTCGTCGCGGTCTGCGGTATCCCCTGGACCATAGCCATGTGGGCTCCAACGGCTTTCCTAGGTGTAGAGGTCAACAAGCTCGGCGGTGGCGAGCTAAACGGCGGCGCATCCTACCGCCGGCTGTCAGCCGGATCTAATATCGAGATGGCCACTCGCCGCGACTCATTGCGCCTTGAGCATGGATCAGACGAGCCGCAGGGAAACTCGGCAGGCGAGTTGAGCGGCGTTTACTTTGGCATATTGAATATTTACACGACCCTACCACAATTCATTGGCACCTTCATAAGCACAATTGTGTTCGCCATCCTGGAGCCGGGCAAGAGCCCCGAGCTGGCCACGGACGCGCACCCTAGCGAGCACCACGGCACGGACGGCCCAAATGCTATCGCCGTGTGTCTGTTCATCGGTGCGATCGCGGCCGTTGGCGCAGCATATGCGACGCGGAAACTAAAATACATGTAAAAACAAGTCCAGACAGGGCATTCAGTGTGAGGAGTGGGCTGAGTATAGCATATGGCGGCGTTTCTTTTCCTTCCTTGGCTGGTTGGCAGGCAGCAAAGGCACTCAACCTGTACGAGTATGATAAAGCCCTAGATTCATGTGTCTTTTTAATGTAGCGAGGCTAAAATTTGGGGTCATGGCGTTGGGCTATTTGACGGCAGCTGTCATAAATGAGTTAAATACAAATATACTGATATGATGGGTCATTAAAAAGACCAGACCAGTCGGAATTCTTTTGGGCTAGATGATGTGTAAGAGTTGAGGTCAAAAATAGGGTTGCTTGAGTTGATGACTGATGACAACGTTATATCAAATACGATATCTCCGCGATGGGTCTCTCCTATCCTTGTCGTTTCTGATGTGGGCATGATTTCCTTCGGCCTCCCACAACGATTTTTGAGAGTTTTCGACTGACTCGTTCCATCCAATCTCGAAAGGGGATAAATCATATATAAGATAAGGTATCACAAGTGAGAAGGACTAATTGAGTTGTCTCCTCAACGCGAGATAAGCTAGGTAAGTATATACCTTGCTAGTATACCACAACTAACTGATATGAGATAAGACTGGTAGGGTTTTGCTGCTGGCACCACAGCAAGAAGCATAAGGTAGAGATCATCCAGCAACCCTAGCCACGCCTAGCTTGTTGAGTTGTCAAAAACTACCGTAAACAATTCTACCAGCATTAGTGGAAGGCCTACCATTTTCGGTGCAGCAGGCTTCCAACAAAATACCTGGAATCCTGCGAAACCTATGCCTGATAGAGGTTGACATCTGAGGTCGTTGCCCCTGCCCCTGTCGCCCCAAATGTAACCTCATTTGACCGTTGGATAGCCGCCGTTTGCGCGATGGACCGCTGTGGAGCCCCTGAGCATTGGCATTCGAAATTACGAGTCGTACTGCGTAGACAGCAAAACTAGCCCATAACCCGGCCCTAATAGTGGCGGATAGCGCATCTGTGAAACACCGGGCCATAGTTGATTCTATATCAGCACAAGGATCACGCAGAAATCAATGCTCAATTGAAATATTGCAAAAGCAGGTACGGTAAAGCCAAGTACGGTATGGGTATGATGCTGTGAAAGAGACAAGCAGAAATGGTTAACGCAATGAACATCAGGCCTCGTCAAAATTATTACTCGGATATCCTTCCCTGCCCCCCTTAGCCCCCCATCACTGCCACGAATCCTGGCGGCTTCTTGAGTCCGCGCTCGTGGTGCTCCCTGATACGGAATGGCTGTTCAGAGACTCCATCTTGGCCATCTTTTTCCTCTTCTCGAACTCGTCCAGCAGCTCGTGGATAGTGCCCAGGGGAAACTCGTGAATCAGCGGCCGTGTAGAAGCTGGGCACACATTTGACTCGTGGTCTTTGAACTCCTCCATCGCAAGATTTAACCGCAGTATCTGCTTCCAAGACACGATGGCATCGCCGATGAGGAAAGTCGGTACCCGCGCCATGGCCATCTCCTCGAGGATCCACCGCCGATGAAAGAAATCGCGGTTCAGGAAGTCAGCAGTGCCAATAGCGGTATCAGCTTTGGGATCGAACAAGTCAATGACAGGTATTGCCCATTCGTGATGCGGTGAATAGTTCTCGGGGTGTGCCTCCTTGTCGCCAGGCTCCTGCCACGTCTCTGGCATGGCATGGTCGAATGCTTGAATCAGCTGGATGCCAAGGTCCGTCTGAGGTATCTTGAGGCCGACCCATCCCACAACCATCTGTGCTTGCTGGTAGACGTGGTACATTATGAGTCTATGCTTTGAACTCTCCCTCGAGTCCATTCCATTGACGCAGATACAGTCGATCCAAACTCGTAGCTTCGGTCTGCCGTCGTGCTCCTTTCCTCCAAAGTGCTTAAGCAAGCTCTTGAACCATCCCGGTGACTGGCCATCCTTTTTCTTCCCCAAGTTCTCCTGGCTTGCCTTTTGGATTGCTGGATAGAACACGGCGCGAACATGCTTTAAGGCCAGGGCGATATGAGTCGGTACCGCGATAGGTGATCGATCCAATATAATCCTATCCTGCTGGGTTGGATCGCCGAGCAACGACGAGATGGCGAGAAACTCAGAGTCCTTGTGAAGAGGGCGCGTCACTAGACGACAGACGACCTGCTCGTTGATACTGTTGGCGGGCTCAATCTCCAAAAAGCGAACCTCATCCCGAGATGTGCTCAACTTTGTGTAATGGATCCTCGGTCGTAAAGTATTTGACGCCATCGTCACATCGGCAGTCGCACATGCACCTCGCTTTGTCAGGAAGGAGAGATAGGAAAGACGGAAAAGGTCTGCATGTCAGTGCATGAGCTCATTTTGCCAGCTTTGCCACAGCGCCCCTAACGGTGAGCCCACTTTCATCGCCCACTTTCAAGGCATTTCTTCTTCCAAACTACCGCTGTTGGCGTAACGGCGATGGACTGACAAGGGCTCTTAGTCTGGGACATCCTTTCCTAAAGTAGCCTTGGTACCATATGTGCACGTAATGGCGGTGAGGGATCATCCTGGTTGAGTCTCTCGGTTCCAGACCCTGGGGCTCCAGTACTAGCTCCTCGCCTCGGTCCATTTCCTCTCAAACACGTCTACCGGGGAGGCGAACGTTAGCGCGTCCAGGGTGAAGATACTGTGTCGTGAATATCAGAATACCTAGACCAGGCTTCGAAATTTGCTGTTAATCTCTATAGCCCCACCATCGTTATCAAAAGTAGCAACACCCTGGGAGGCAAAGTCGTGACTCCTTAGACAGACTAACGTTGGTTTCCCCACGGTGGAGACGACACAATAATGGCCCTTTTGTTGGCAAGGATCCCAGCTATTCCCCTCCTCCGCCCTCACCTTTCTTATTATTTCCCATGCTTCTCCAGCTGAATGGACTGTCCGAGCGTAAAAAGCGTTGAGACACTAAAAGACACCAGTCTGTGCAACATCGTGAACGATGGCACCCAGCGCAGTGATCACACCGCCTCCGAGCCGGTCCGGGACGCTCACGCCGGACAATGCCCGCTTCGACCATGCTCGGGAGGCCGATAAGCCCAAGGCGTATACGGATGGGCGCTGGATCAAGCTCCCGGAGGCCCTCTTTTCATCGATCATGTCGGTGGAGCCAGAGGTCAATCCATTGCACGCAGCCTCGAAAGCACTGTCGGATGACTGGCTCCGGAAGTAAGAGCCAATTGCGCGTGTATTTTGCTATTGCAGACTTGTAGATACTAACCAGAAAACAAGTGCACTGCGGATGGATGACAAGACAGCAAGCATATGGAGCAGGCTGGATATCGCGTACATGAGCGCCATTTGCGCCCCGCGTGCTGATGTAGAGACGTTGAAACTCATGAATGATTGGAATGGTTGGGTGTTTGGCTTTGACGACCGTAAGTCAGCATTCCAGACCCAAGACTAGACAGACGCAGGGCGGGCCGAGCCGCCATGCGTGAGCGCTGCATGCGACCCAACGCTTATGCCGTCTTTTATACTTGAAAACTGCGCAATGGGCTCCGCTGACAGGAATGCGATGTCTTGCAGCCTTTGACGAGGGGATTTTCGCGAATGATCCCATCAAAGCCGCTGAAGAGGTTATATTTACGCTCTCAATGCTAGACGACGTACATCCAGTGGTATCACCAGAGGAGAACCCGCTGAGGCATACACTGCAATCTTGCTGGATGCGCTTCAGGGAACGTTCTAGTCCTGGCTTGCAGTACCGATGGAAGAGGCATTTGACGTTATACTGCATTGGCGTGCTCCAACAGGTTGGCGTTCAACATAGAGCCTCAAGACCTACGGTTGAAGACTATATGGATATGCGTGCAGGTTGCGTGGGAGCGTATCCCTGCATTGGACTTATGGAGTAAGTAAGCACCGTACACCATGTAATTGTCAGCCGCGAGTGCGACTGAGCATTTTCCGAGCGCCAATTGCACACCGTTTGCACAATTTTGTATCCGCATCGTCAGAACCCAGCAGGGCGAAGTTGCGACTGTTGTCAAGCTTTATATGTGATTGGCTCAACAATGCGAGTTATGACTGGCCATCCTGCCGGTGATAGGCTATTCGCTCAAGCGTGCCCAATCAAATAAGGAATTACAGTATTAACTTCTTACCAACATAGATATGCCGAAGGAATTGACCTGCCTCAGTATGTTGTGGATCATCCGTCCTTGGCAGCGATATCGCGGATTACGTGCGATTTGGTGACGTTGTAAGCGACAACCCACTTGCGAGCTCCCTCCATATTGGTCCTGGGCTAATCACTACATAGGCAAAATGACCTATGCTCATATAGGAAAGATCTCATAAAGGGCGAGGATACCAATATTATATTTATCTTGAAGGATCAAGGAATGAGCGACCAGCAGGCTGTTGATCGGATAGGGGAAATGCTGTATGAGTGCTACCGAAGATGGTTTGAGGCATTGAGCAACCTCCCTTTCTGGGGAGAGAAGATCGACCGGGATGTTGTGAAATTCATTAACGGCTGTCGCAATATAGCCCTTGGAAATCTCCACTGGAGGTAACTGAAACACGGCTTTCCCCACTGATAGGCGTAATGATTGGCTGACGGGAGACTTCTAGCTTATACACATTCAGATACCTGGGCACTGACGGTCCGGAGGTTAAGAGGACACGGATGATGAGGCTGCCTTGAACTTCGGAGTTGACACTGATATTCGGTATGTCAGTTCATAGAGCTTTGCATTGCATTTCTGCAATATATCCGGTTACATGGGCGGTTTTAGCGTTGATTAAGCAACATACACAAACTAGCATCAACAGATTGACTACTTGATACATTCTCCGTAACACTCGATACTCTGCAGGGCTAACTTCGAAGTAAATGAATTACAAATTTTATGGGGGTATGTCTTATCGTATTGTCATGCGTGGGCCACTGCCAGTAGGCTTTGACTTAAAGATATAGTCAAAGTAAAAGTTTGCATCAACTGTAACGCATAGTAGTTTAGCCAGTATCACCAAGCATCGGAAACCTTTTATGTTCACTCGTGAAAATCTACTTAATCTATCTCAACATTGACTCATCAAACTCAAGGAACAATGAGGACTCGAGTAAGGCTGACGTGTCGGGATCTGGTGTGGTCAAGGATTGAGGTATCCTGAGACGAAACTCATGCAACTTCCTAATCGGCGCTGCTGGTAAATTTTAGAGACCTTGTCGCTGCCTTGCTCAACTTCAGCTCAGTTTTCAATCAATCCTCATAAAACTTGCTCAGCCTACACCAGATCCTACTCACGTTTTCGTACTTAGCACTAGAATAGGCTCTTCATCCCTTTTCCAAGCCCTCAGGCTGTAGAACCACTCATATCATCCTGCCTAATCCCCGAGATAGCTATAGTGTAACAACTACACTATTGCCGCTACACTATCCAGCAAGAGATTAGCATTGAATACAATGACTGCGTCAAATTTATGAGGATTTCACCCTTACATCTACGATACCTCCTCAGATTGTTGTGCTAGGTTACTGTTGTAAGTGGCCAAAGATAGCTTGTTCAATTAGCCAGCATTATTGTACAGGAAGCTTCAGTTAGTGAGGAAGAGAAAAGACTCAAAGCATGCTATATTTCCTCAAGCATTTAAGGGATCAAATATCCTAGACTAGGCATATGACTTGGCCTTCTACCTGGCACCAGTCTTTTGCAGGCCGTCCTGAATCCTCCGCAATTTATAACAGTACAAGACTTGGGAATTGTAGTGTAATTCTAATTTCTTTACATCAAACGACTTTTGATAGGATCCTTACTTCAGAGATTCTGGGCCACTGACGACATTCAAGTACAATAAAGGTTCGACATAATGTCTAACCTTCTGCTAACTCCCAAGCTAATGCGGGCTTGCATGTCCTAGTTTTGTCATTCACGAGCAGGTTCTACCCCACCCAGGGAACTCGTGCTATCAAGGCTGCTCTTGAGCGCATTCATCTCTTCGTCGAGCTCCGGAGGCGAACAGTCTCGCTTCGCCGTCTCAAAGTCTACCACAACGACATCATGCCCATCCCGCACAAGAAAGTTATGTTTGTTGATATCACCAAGCTTGATACCGAGCTTATGCAACCGGCCCAACGCCTTCTTGCAGCCGTCTATGTCCGCTGGCCCGGCGGCTCTCGCGCCTTCCACCCACTCAGCGATGAAGCCAATCACTCGCCCGTCTTTGCCCTCGGTGAGATGGCCAAGAAACCTAGGACCGACGCCACTGCCACTGATCCATTGATAGGCCGCCGTCTCAACCTCAATAAAGGGGATTTCCCAAGGCCAGACCGCGAGTTTGATGAGCACGGATTTTCCGCCATTGACTTCAGGATGCGTTGAGACGTGGACTCGTTGCCTCACTCGGGTTTGTTGCGTAAAATCCAGCTCGTTGAGCTTCACAGGATGCCAAACGTTCTTTACCCCGGGAAATTGTACTGTCTCGGTCCTGACGAAGGTAGCCCTCTCCGTCTCGGGGTCCCTGGCCGCGTGGCCGTGGTTCCAATCTCCAGTTGGAAATGGTGGAAGGAGCTCGTTAAGCAGGATGGGCTCAAAGGTCCGGTCGTCTTCGGCCCCGCGAAATGTGCCTGGCGCTGTGGATATGTACCTCACATGTTGCCCGTCGACAAGGAAGCGGTAATCGCTGTCGTTCGTGTCGTCAATGTCGACAAGGCATGCGAGAAGCCGGACATTGGTGTTCCTTTCTTGAGGGCTCATAACTGCGCAGAAACGGTGCTGAGACGACAAGAGACGCCAGCGAGATCGATGAGGTGCTCTGGATGCAAATGGCAGCTACGCAGCATGACTCCTTGGGACGGCGTGATCGAACAGGAGTTGTTCAGAACTGGAAGGTGCGCCGAGTTGGAAGATCGGAGCCTGGGAGGACCCGGAGTGCAAGACAATAAATTGTCTCAGAGCTCAGCGATGCCGTGCTCCGGCTGGCAGAATAGAATTCGGGACGGAGAAGTGGGAGTGTAGGCGCTGTGGAAGTTAGTCTCTGATGGCGGAGTTGCAGCCAATTAGCTTTTCCTATTTGCCGCCCAAGCTGCCTATGTGAGGTGCGTATATGGGCCGCTGTTGGCACTATGCAGGCCTCCTTTCCCAAAGACTAAGATATATCACTAACAGACCCAGAGCTAGCACGAGGGTCAAACATCTGATAGCTAATGAAATTTTATAGTAACCTTACCGCACTGGGCAATCTTCGCGCACTAGTACGCCTCGCATAACCGGGCACATCT